TAAATCCCACCTGGAATATAAGAAAAGAAACCAATTTCTAAGAGGCTAATCTCAAATACCTAGCAAGACTTTTCTACAGGTGACCATACCTACACAGCCCAACACAAAATTATAAACTTAGTTAAGGCACTATGAGATTTTTCTTTTTCTTTTTTTTTTTTTTGTAATTTTTAACACTCGGCTGTGGCGTTCTTGGCATGAATTTGTAAATTTTGTAAAAGACAATGTCATATCATGGTGTCAAAAGTTTGGACATACCAGTCTGAGGGAAGACAGTCAAGGATACTGACTTTGAATTTGCTCTGTTGTCAGAAGTCAATTGTCTTGATTATCTGGAAATCTCTTTCTGTGTGAGGATCAGACCCAGGGCCTCACACATGCTGGGCAGACCTTCTGCCCACTGAGTTGTAGCCCCAGCTCAGTTGGCTGGTGACCGCTGACCTCTCTCTTCAGAGAGGGAACCTAAAGCAAGGCATGCTTGACAAAGAACTATGTTTCCAGAGACTCCACGAGCCCCAGGGTTTGCCTTCTGAGAGACAGATGCTCCACCCATTAGTCTCTTTGGTTTCTACAGAAGCTAAACAAATGCATTTAAAAAATTTGGACTCTGACGGATATTTTTCAAAAGATAATTGTTAAGAACTGAAGCAGAACAAATAACTAATCTTTGGAGTAAAGGAACATGGGAGTGCAAAGTCTTTTAATACACACGCACAACACACACGCACACACACACACACAGAGAGAGAGAGAGAGAGAGAGAGAGAGAGAGAGAGAGAGAGAGAGAGTACACACAAAAAATGATAATTATAAAGATGGCTGCCAAGTACCGTGAGATCCTGGAATTTATAAAAAACAAGTAGCATCCCCACTCACCCTCAGAGTACATCTGAAAAATGCCAGACCTAAGAATAGCACCATGAACTTTCACCTAGATCCAACAACAGAAACAGTTTTTAATGGTGTGTTTTCCTTTGCCTGCATACACACACATATCAAATAAATCACCAGCGTTAAAGAGTTTTCATCTTAATTGCCTCCTCTCTTGTCTGGAGATGAATTGTGCCAAACATATCATGTTGTATCTTTCTCTGCAGTCAAATCTGCCAGATGATATTTTTGAAAGTGGAAAGGCGACAGAGGAAAAAAGGCCACTGTCTCTCAGCTTTAGTGACCTGCAGGATGGAGACTGCGTCTTCACCTCTAGTTCAGCCACCTCGCCCTCCAGCTCACACTCAGCCCACCCTGAAATTACCATCACCCCTGCTGAGCTCACCCATGGCAGCCTGTCCTCACAGAATGAGGGTACAGAGGACAGCAGCTCAGCATCTTCCAGGAATTCCCTGGGTGAGGACCATGAGCCAAAGTCCCACACAAAGAGTGATACGGTAGAGGCCCGGAAGCCCGGTGTGTCGGCAGGGTCCAGAGCAGAGAGCCTGTTCCTAGAGAACAGTGTTGCCGAGGCTCTCCTGCAGGAATCAGATGAGGCCTCTGAGCTCAAACCCGTGGAGCTGGACACGTTTGAAGGAAACATCACCAAGCAACTAGTGAAGAGGCTCACCTCAGCCGAGGGGCCCATAGTCACTGAGAAGCTTTTCTTTGAAGGCTCTGTTGGTAGCGAATCTGAGGCTGGCCGCTCCTTTCTTGACGGCAGCCTAGAAGATGCCTTCAATGGACTCTTCCTGGCATTAGACCCACACAAGGAGCAGTACAAAGAGTTCCAGGATCTGAACCAAGAAGTCACGCACTTGGATGATGTCCTCAAAGTAAGTACCTTTCTGGAAAAATCTGATTCGGTTTGGGAAAAAGCATCCTAAACCAACGCTGTATTTAAAAAAGCAAATCTTGTCGTGTCACTGGACCGATAACTGTTACGTAAGTGGAGGTGATTTTTTATAATTCTTCTCACACCTATCCATTTTTATTTTCCTAACAACAAATCAACTTAGCTAACTTGATTAGGAATTGTCTTAAAAACTCTAAAGAAGGTCAGAAGTGGGGAGATGGCTAAGGCCAAGTGGCCTGGACCAACAGGTCATTCTTTAGATAAGTCAGGTTCCTGAGAGGAAGGACCTGGGGATGAGGAGATAAAGAAGACAGGAAAAGTTGGGGTCAGGAGTTCTTATGCCAAGCAAATATTATTAAGAAGTACAGCATCTTATATATAAGTTTCAGTGAAAAAAAAAATGGGACAGAGTCAGCAGAAAACTGTAATACAAGACAAAGTCTGCAGGAAGTTATTAAAGCAATGTTGCCCACAGGATGTCTCAAGTACATCACAGATGAGCACATAGTAGCCTTGGGACTAATAACCATAACCCTTTAGTGTTGGGTTCTCAGAATCTGAAGTCACACTTCCTCCAAGGCTCAGGCCCCAGGCCACCAATGGCCTCGCCAAGCATATTCCTCATTTTAGACAGGGAGCTATATTTCTTCTCCATACAGCAGGGCCTCAGAGAAAGCCTTGGATCACCCTGGCCCCCAACAGTGAAGAGTTTGCCATGAAAGCATGGGGGCCTGAACCCACATAGAAAAAGCTGAGCATGGCTTGAAATTCCAGCAATCCCAGGTGGACCCCTGCAGTTTGCCAGCCAGCCATCTAGTCTACTCAGTGAGCTCCATGCCAGACAGAGACCCTGACTCGAACCAAGATGGCACCTCAAAAACACAGAGGCTAATCTCTGTCCTACACATTCATACCCTCATGCACATGTTCACACACACACACACACACACACACACACACACACACACACACACACTACTGCCTCCACATGCCTATCAAGTCCAAGTGTGAAATACTGGTGTTTGTTTATCATGGTCTCAAAGATGCTACCAGTTAGGGTCTTTCTAGGGATACCAGGGAAGCTGGGAAGGTCAGCCCCAAGGTCTGGAGCCACCCTCTCTTCTCACATTGTCACAGTGACTCTTACTGAGGATCATCCCTCCTGAACTTGACCCGAATCAACAAGCTGAGATCTGAAAGGACTCAGTAACAATTCCCCTTTGCTCATATACTAGAACCTAGGGAACCACAAATTCCAACAGAGATATTGTCATCATCCCTGGTGCTCAAATAGGGTCGAGGTGTGAAGGCAAGAGGGAGGGGGCAATAGCCCCTCAAACCGGATATCTTAATAATGTTGTCACCACAGCTACATCAGAATGAATCTGTCTGAACCTGGCATACAAGTGGAAATTCTTTTTAAATGTAGCATAGGAAGACAAGGCTACATGGCCACTTGTTTAACCCTTTTTTCTCTGCTCTGATTATATGGTCAAGTAGGATTCCTCAAGGAATAAATAAGATAGAAATTTTCAGCAGCAAGCTGAAAGGCAGCCTATAGGAGGCCCCCTTGTTCCTCTGTAAGATGGTTTTATGTGGCCTTTGCAATGACACCAGGAGCTATAGTCTCAGGACTTTCTTACCATCTTCTTTCTCTCCATTTCTCATACTGACCTAGCTCCAGACAAGATTTATGCCTGAGACAAATGATAATTAAGGCCTATGACACTTCAGGTCCTCTAAGTTTCTTTTTATAGAAAGAACCTCTGAGAAGGGCACATAGAGTCTGCTCTCTGTAGGACACGTCTCAAAACTGTGCACACGGAGCTCAAGCGTGGAGGACACCTGGATGGTGCTCCACCTTACATCTCATCTGCATGATTAACCTGCTTTTCCTTGTAGTAAGAGGGGCTCATTTCAAAGAGCTGAGGTACACACTGGCCCCACTAAAGGAGGTGCCTTGAAGAAAGATAGTGATGGGATTTGATCTTCAGTGTGAGGGGTAAGGGTTCAACAGCCCCAGTCTAAGGCACTGACAAGGCTCAGCTCATCAGGATACACTGGGCTCATTAGCTGCCCATCTTATAATGCCTTGGTGATCTCAGAATCCCTTACGGCTCAGCCTGCTCTTGACCAGCACTGTCCCAATATTGTCTAGTGACCTTCATCCACTTATCTTTTTGCTGTGCCCAATGTTTGAAGCCATCATCCTGCTACACAGATGGCTGACTTATTTAAGAAGACTCAAAAGATAGGCCAAGTCCACAGCAGTTCCCCTTTTCTGCCTGAGATCAACAGCATCAGCATCGTTGGGAGCTTAGGTTTGGGGCGAGTGGCTTCTGTGGGACAAAGCTCTCTCTTTTTCTTCCTCCTTCACATTCCTAGGATACTAAACATCTTGAGGATCAGAGACTCAATGATGCTGCTTCCCGGACGGAGATCACTGAGGGTGAATGAGACAACCGTGATTTAAAAGACTGAAAGACATTTCCCATGTGCTTCTGTGCCATCCCAAGTATCTGAGACAGATTCCCGAAAGGCCCTTCCTACCTTGTGCTAAGAATCAGCAAGGGGATCCTCCTAGACGGACAGAGGACATTTAGTGCGTCTTCTTTGCAGGCCTTGTTCTGTTCAGCCCACCTCAAGTCCTCTTGAATATATGGATATGCTTCTCTTTGTCTCCAGGCCATAGACACTGGCATTGCCAACCAGCCATGCTTCAGTCTATGTCCTGCAACATGCTGTAGAAGGAACTTGTCCCCACAAATTCCAGGATCTGGCCAGAGGGATGATAGGATTTGTTCCTTTCAAGGCAGACATCCAAGGGAATCAGGGCTATTTTCCCATCATGCCCAAGTCACTCATTTGCTTCTCTTTGTGTTCAGTGCTCAGAAAAAAAGCATTTGAATGGAACATGGTGATCAGCCTGGGGCAAGTGTATTTGAGCAGTTTCCTTTTCTGGAATTCGTTTTGTCAGTTCTTTACAACATACTTTAGACACAGAGCTCCAGGCTCTGCAGACACTGTAACTCGGCAGTAGAGGCCGATTCTGGTTAACAGTCAGCAATGACTCAGTGGCTTTTAAAATTTGTCTGCTGGGTTGATTTAAAAAAAGAAAAATGTCTTGAGACAGTCTCACTATATTGAGGCTGGTCTTGAATGCATGACCTCAAATGGTGCTCTCAGCTCAGCCTCCTGAGTGTCTGGGGCTGCAGGCAAATGCTATGGTGCCAGGTTTGCTCATTCTGTTCTATTTGGTCATGAGCACTACACCAAAGGAATACATCACTTCTGCTTCCCAGGACTTTCAGGTTGTCAGTTTTTAGAGCTGTTATTGTAGTAATATAACTCCAACAGAAGCAGATATGCCAATTGCCCAGTGATGCCCAGTGACCTCCAGTGATCCCCAGTAACCCCCAGTGGTTGACTTACCTCCAGTTCTATCTCTCCTACTCTTCCTATGTACTTCCCTCTGGGTTCTTTTTGACCAAATCACAACTGTTGTGCCATTTTCTCTGTGGTTGTATTTCTTTTCCTCAAGATGAAGACTTTAAATGCCAACCAAAAATAAAGGCTTGGAAAACTGTAAGAAAGTGTCACGTTTCCCATGGATGCCACGAGTCCTGCTGGTCCCCCTGGTGTGTTGATGGTCTCCTTGGTACCTTCTGCCTTTGCAGTGCAAGCCGGTAGGCAGCCGCAGCCGATCCTCCAGCTTAAGTCTGACGGTTGAGAGTGCATTAGAAAGCTTTGATTTCCTCAACACCTCTGACTTTGATGAAGAGGAGGATGGGGATGAGGCCTGCCACGGAGGAGGAGGAGCAGACTCCGTGTTTTCAGACACTGAGACAGAGAAAACTGGGTGAGTGTGGAGACAGCCAATGCTTCTATTTCTCCCGTCACAGCTGGTACAGTCACCCTTTGTTACTGTCAGGGACCACCTGGTACACAGCTCCAGAATGACACAATCCTTGCTGTCATGTCCAACCTTAACAGGTCACATGCAGCCACATGTGGCCCAGGACAGCCATGAGTGCAGCCCAACACAAAATCATAAACTTACTTAAGACACTGGGTGTGGGGCTGGAGAGATGGCTCAGAGGTTAAGAGCGCCGACTGCTCTTCCAGAGGTCCTGAATTCAATTCCCAGCAACCACATGGTGGCCCATAACCATCCGTTATGAGATCTGGTGCCCTCTTCTGGTGTGCAGATATACATGGAAGCAGAATGTTGTATGCATAATAAATAAATAAAATCTTTAAAAAAAAAAAAGACACTGGCTGTGGTGGCACACACCTTTAATCCCAACACTCAGTAGGCAGAGGCAGGCGAATCTCTGTGAGTTCTCAACCAGCCTGGTCTACAAAGTGAATTCTGGGACAGGCTCCAAAGCCACAGAGAAACCCTGTCTCAAAAAAAACAAAACCTTACTTAAGACATTATGGCATTATTTTTGTGACTTTTGTTAGTATCTAGATTGTATGGTCTTGAGGATGGACTTTTGTAGATGACAATACTGTGCCAAAATGTGAAAAGGTTGGGCACACCTGAAGGATGACTTGACTTTTGGTTCCTTTTGATTGTCAAGTACAGCTTGTAAATATTGCTGACCGACTGGAGGTTGCATCAGGTACCCAAGTACCTTTGATTTCTTAGAAGGGGAAACAACTGTGTTAGTTGGTGTACACGGGCATGTGTGGTGTAGGGTGAGGGGTCTACACAGGCAGGTGTAGAATGACCACATGCAGCACATTCTAAATCAGCCAAGCCAGGTGGCACCAGACTTGGACCCTCCATCCCTGCTGTGCCTCATACTTGCAATGCCTCCGTTTACTGAGCTGTTTTCTCAGCGCCCTTCTCTCTCTCCTTTCAACTATCTCGGCATGAGGTTGAAATCACTGGTGTGCTTCCCAAAGGCCGGCTTGAGTTGCCCAATAAAGTAAAGATGGATGCTTGGCACTCCATTAGATCTAAGCTCCTCCAGGCAGAAAACGTGTTACCTTCTCCCTCAGGTGTCCTCCTACAGCTAAGCCAAGATTCTTAGAGCCAGCTCCTAGGCCCACTTTGTGATTTCAGAAGAAACTAAATGGCCAGTATTCACCTGCTAGGAAAGAATCCACCAGCATGTATCAAGGGAAGAGGTGGTCTCCTCTGACTTTACCTTTGGTACAAGTAGGTTTTCAAATTACAACAAATTTGGCTGTCCAACCTTACAGAGCTGTCAGTGAAGTGCTATTATTTTGGGTTTCTATTGTTGCTGATGGGTTTCCTTTTCCAAAATAAAACCATACATATGTATGTATGTATGTATGTATGTATGTATGTATATTCCTTGAGCAAACTGGGAATAAAAGGAAATGAAATGTAGAAAATGTAATATTTAATTTATAGTTCTTCATGCTACATTGAAATTTCTGTGGCTTGACTGAATTTACAAAATATTTCTTCACTTAGACTTTTCTACATACCTGTTGGCTTTTGCTGTTGTATACATAGATGAGGTAAAGCTCTAAATTGCAGCATTTTCACAAATATATCACCTCCTTTGTACATCCTACAGAACATTGATTTTAAATCTATCTAATCAAACCAGTCTTGCTGTATGTTACCGGAGCAATAGGAAGAGGTATATGTATATGTGTATGTATATGTGTATGTGTATGCGTATGCGTATGCGTATGTGTAGGAGAGTGTGCACACCCATTAGAGTGTATGCATGTACATGCACACACTTATGTATGAAAGTGTGTGAATGTGTATATATGGGCTGTGTTGCCTGTGTAGTGTGTGACTGAGTGTGCATTGAGAGTGTGTGTGCATGTATGTGCACAAACATGTATGTGAGTTGTGTACATGTTTTAAATATGTGCCAGTTGCCAGGATGCAAGCTGAGCATGGTTCTTAAGTGAAACATGTGGACAGAGACAAGCCCTCAAAGCTCCTAAGTTTTCTGTGCAATGTTACCTTTGTGGACACTGCAGAGCATGAGGTGAAAGGCCACTGTGTACCCGTGTGCACCAGGGACTCTTATTAGCATCCCTGCTGCTCAGCCTTCCATGTATGAAATTATCCAATTATCCCCTCCCACCTGAACATATAAAAAATAAAATTAGGGGATACAGGGGAGGGTATAGGGAAATGGAATGAATGAAAACAACGTATAATGATCCACAGATATGGAGATGACAAGGTGAACCCGTTTCTTCATATGCTAATCTAAAGAAATGAAACAAAATATACAAATAATTTAAATGTTAAATTTTGACACAATTATGAAAAGGATGGTTAACTATTATAAAGGTCCTGGGTCTTTCTGGGACTCACATGATGCCCATCAATGCTTCAGCAGACACCAGCAAGATATCTCAGTAAGTGAAGTCCCTGCTGTCCCAGTCTGGCAGCCGGAGTTGGATCCCCAGGACCCAAATGAGGATGGACAGATCCAAGTGGACAAAGTAGTCCTCTGACCTCCACATGCATGCCATAGCCCATTGCCCCCTCTCATAAACACAAAATGACAATAAACAATCTTTTTGTTTCAACAGAATCACTTGATGGAAGAGGCATACTAAATGATTATAAAGTATAAAAATAAGTTCCTTTTCCCAATGGGGAATGTTCCATCCTTTGGAATATTAGAACATACTATAAATCACAATGTCTACAACATTACCATTATAATATTTTTAAAGTATACATTGAAAAGACAGATAAAAGGTGGTAGTTTCATCCCTCAGCCATGATGGTCTGTTTCAACAGCATCCAAGGAAGTCACTCTCAGAACTAGGAAAGCAATTAGCTTCATGTTCTCCATTATGACTTGTGTCCGCCACCTGCATTGTGCCCTAATATTTAGCCTTTCTTCTTCTCTTTTCTGCATGTCATACGGTACTCACATGTGTGTTTGTTTACATATTTGCATATATTATTGGCTAGGTCCTACATATGAGGAAGAACAGGTGGCTTGTTTTCTTTCTGAGATTATGTGACCTTGCCTAGTATTATATACCCTAAGTGCATTTGTTTTACTGTGATTTTTCTTTTGAATAGCATACATCAAATATATATATATCAAATTTTTATTACCCATTCATCTATTGATGAGCAACTAGTTTGGTTCCAATTCTTTGCTATAGCAAATAAAGCAGCAGGTATTTCTTGTTCTAACGCTCTTATGGATTTTTCAGTTTGGGTGGGGGATAAGTGCATAAAAATGCATTCAATAGTAAAAATGAATTTAATAGTGTAAAGTGTAAAACTCCACAGTTTCAGAATGCCTATTCTAACTGTATAGAAGTTCATTGAGATGCAAAGACTTTGGATCTGGTTAATTTTTTGTGTATAACGGTTTTGATTTACAAGATCCTTATAATGAAGGTTATGTTTTTTAAAAATTTGTTTTTAAAAAGAAAATTCTATATACTCACATCATAAAATAATCAAACAACCCAGATAAATATAAGACTTATTTGTATACTTAAAAACCACAAACTATGGCGGCCATGGTGGCACACACCTTTAATCCCAGCATTGGAAGTCAGAGTCAGGTTGGTCTCTGTGAGTTTGAGGCCAGTCTGGTCTACAGAATGAGATCTAGGACAGCCAGAGCTCCACAAAGAAACTTTGTCTTGAAAAACGAAAAATAAAGAAATAAATAAATTAAAATAAAACCCATAAAATAAAACAAAACGTATGTCCATTGAAAAAAGAATAAACAGCCATAGTGAAATCTACCTGTAATCCCAGCACTTAGAGGTAGGGACAGGAAATCAGGAACACAAGGCTGGCCTCAGCCACATGGCAAATCAGGACTATGTGAGACCTTGTCTCAAAAGAGAAGGGAAGGAAAAAACTTACATAACACACGAAATCGAACTTTTCAGTGTGTACATGGTGATCTAACCTTGGACAGTGTGACGGTGGGGCTTTAGAGAGCATGAGAAACAAGACTGAGTTGAGAACTGTGTAACCAGACTTCCCTTCTAGAGTCTGACTGTTCACAGCACTGTGTCTGTCCTTAGGAGTTTCTTTCTTGTCTTCAAGTGGCCGTTGGCATGAGGCCAGGGCAAGGCCTGCGAGATCACTCTTTAATGGGACTCATAGGAAACCACACACACACAGGACTGTTGAATCCCAGAGAAGCTGGCAGATCCCCCAGCTACAGAGTGGGAAACGGAAGCAAGAGCAGAGTGAGGGCACCGTTCAAAGACTTCCCAGGGAAACTGCCTCACAAAGCCCTCATTGTGCTCGCAAAGCAAACAGCAGCCTGTGTTTGCATGGTCTGTTGATACCTGGCAGATTGGCAAGTAGCTGAAATTAAGTTGTTCTAGAAAGGTATCTCTGCCTTTGAGAGCAAGCCTGGGAAGGGCTGCTTTCAGTGGAGACCATGTAAACTTGGTCTGTGGTTTGTGCACAGAAAGAAAAAGCTCATGTTTCACCCACTTTCCTGCTTCACAGTTACAGGTCAGTTCACCCGGAAGCCAGGGGTCACCTTAGCGAAGCTCTGACTGAAGACACAGGCGTAGGGACCAGTGTGGCAGGAAGCCCGCTCCCACTGACAACAGGAAATGAGAGCCTGGACATCACCATTGTCAAACATCTACAGTACTGCACCCAGCTGATTCAGGTAGGGTGCATGGTGTGTGGGAGATGGAGGTGCTGATGTGCCAGGAAGGTGTGCATGTTATTTATGTGTTTTAGCTTTGCCAAGGAAATGAGAGTTCAGAGGTAAGGGAGTGTTCCTGTTTTCATTTGAAGGAAGTAAAAACTTGGCAGACGTGTCCACCTTTTTTTTAATTATTATTATTTTCAAGACAGGGTTTCACTTTCACTGTGTAACAGCCTTGGCTGTCCTGGAACTAGCTCTGTAGACCAGGCTGACCTTGAACTCACAGAGATCCACCTGCCTCTGTCTCCTGAGTGCTGGGATTAAAGGTGTGCACCACCAACATCCTTCACCCTTTCCTAAGCCTGGGTTATCAGTTTTAAGTTAAACCTAGATCTGGAGACAATTGTGGGTGCCAGGCAGAATATGATCAATTTACTACACTGTCAGGTAGTAAAGGAGAGGGATTCGACAAAGGGAGACAATGGTGCCATCTACCGGCAGAGTTGGAAGACTTTGTTAACTAAATAGATGTGATGTCAAGCTCACTTCCTACCACATGTCGCACTAAACAGAATGTGCTACAGAAGCAAGCCATGTTTCCCCAAATAGCAAATGAGGAAGTTTCCTTTTCTTCAAGACAGGCTCATATGTAAGCCAAGCTGTCCTCAAACCCACTGTGTAGCTGAGGCTAGTCTTGAACTCAGGATCATCCTGCCTCCACCTCCTGAGTGCTGGGATTGCAGGCTGGCTCCGGCTAGTAATTCTTATGAGCAATGGGAAGGAAAGTCCCTCCAGGTCATCTCCTCACCACTTAGCTCTCACACTGGAACACCATACGGCCTTCTTCTCATTTCTCATTTCAGTGGGCATTGAAACATTTACCACCTGAGGTATGACAGTCCCAAAGCTGTGAAGGCCTTTTGCAGCAGAAAAGCTTCCAGCTGTCCTGACTAAACAGGACATTTTCCCAGAGGCCTGGATTGAAATGTTTCCTTCTTGCCTGGCTGCTTGTCTTCTCGCTGCCTTGATCTTCTCCCAGATTGCTTGGGGGTGTGTGTGGAACAGGATAAGAACACAGAAGCAATTGTAATCACAGCTTTTCAGAAGACAGCCACTCAGACAGGCCGCAGAAGGAAGAGGAAGAGTGCCGAGTACCTAAGCCAGCCAAAACCAAATGGCAGGGAGAGGAGTGAGGGAAGGCCAGCAGCTGGGCGGTGTTGGCCACACATTTGTGTGAAATATAGAAGAATATGATTTTCCACCACAAATAAAGACGCTATCTGAGCATAGTAGTACAGGACTGTAACCCCAGCACTGGAGGGACAGATGCAGGAGGATCCAGAGTTCAAAACAAACCTGGGCTACCCAGCAAGACACTGCCTCAAAGAAAGGAACTACCTGATGGGGAAACTGAAGCACAGAGGTGATGTGTGTGTGTGGGGGGGGGGCTGACTGTCAAAACCCTGGCATCTGGCAGACTTGTGCCCTGTTTGAAGATCTGTTGAGCGTTGAGGCTCTAGCTGTAACATTGCCAACCAGCCTCACAAAGGCTGTGTTTTCCCTGCTGAGTAAATGGAACCAGTTGTGGTACTCATGCCTGCGATCCCAGCACTTTGGAGGCTGAGACAGGAGGATTGCTGCAAGTTTGAGGCCAGCCTGGACTATAGAGTCAGACCCATCTAAAAAAAAAAAAAAAAAAAAAAAAAAAAAGGATTTATGTTTCCTTCTAGCTACTCACTATTTACCAGCTGCCACTATTTACCTGACTGAGATTCATTCAGGTCTATAATTATCTTCTCCAACTCTGATAATGTGCCAGGCAAACCATCAGCCAGCCTTTGAGAGGTGAAGTAGCTCTTATGAAACCTAAGAGAAGTCTCTTCCATGGAGGGGGTAAAGTGTTCTCCCAAAGGTTGAAGAGCATGCAGCCGTCGTCAGTGCACTGTTCCTCTCTGGCAGGGCCATGAGGCACAGTCCAACTCTCTTGTGGAACAGATCTGTGCTAGAAAAGCAATTGAGGTTTGTGTTGCACAGGCTGACTGAAAACACACATACAGACAAGTAATATTAATATTATACAGGCCAGAACATATGTATGCATATACATATATGTTTGTAACAATTGATGAAAAAGAGACCATGAATTTGAGAGAAAGGAGGGGTATATTGGAAAGTTTGGAAAGAGGAAAGGGAAGGGGAAAATAATGTATTTAAAATCTCAAAAGAAAAAAGGGACATGGGGTGAAGGAGTGAGATTTACAAGCCCCAATCCCCACTTGCTGTCACTCCATAATCAGGGTGTTTCCTTACCACTTGGTATATAATTGGGGAGAGTTAAAAATGGGCATTCTATGAGTCCATTATAACTATATTTAGAGATGAGGTGTGTGTCCTGTACTTGCTCACAAGAAAGACATCAGTGTGTAATTGCTAGACGTCAGTTTCATTTTGTTTCATAGCCTAGGCAGCTTTTGAGCTCACTGTGTAACTGAGGCTGGCCTTGACCTGAGTGCCATGCCTCTACTTCCCACATATTGGGGTCACAGGTGTGCACCACCACACCTGGATAACTGCTGGACTCTGAAGTTAGAGAATGCCATTTATTTTAGGGTTCAAATGCTCTAGACAGCATGGTATGGCAGTGTCATCCTCACCCATGAGCCATGCCTGCCATCTGTGCCTACCAGGTAACCTGGGCAGGTCCCCACGGGACAGAGAAAGAGCAGAGCCATTAAACAAGTCACTTAGATCCTTCCTGTCGCAGACCTTCTTTTCCTTGTACCCTACACACAAGTGAAACCAATGCCTGCTTATGTGGCATTAGGCCAGTTACTTAACCCTGGTTTGCCTCAGTCACACAGAGTTTCCTGTCACCAAAATGGAGATGGCAGTTGGAGTCTCATTGTGTCATTGTGAGAAACGGTGTGAGCTAATACATGTATAGAGCTCAGAGTGGCACCAGGTACCCAGACAGTGCTCTTGGATTACACTGGGATAGTTCTGACTACAAGAATGACTGTATAATGTGCTCCGAATTTTCAGTTTGGAATCAGGGAAATAAAACCATGCAGTTCGTAAAGCAAATCTTTTTCTGCTTATCCGTCACCCAAACCCTCTGCTGTCTTCAAAGAAATTGAGATTTACATAGGAGCAAGGGCAGATCTGGGTTCAGAGTTTTTATACCAAAAATCCCAGCACTTGGGAAGCTAAGGCACTGGGGTTATGAGTTTGAGGACAGCCCAAATTAATAGTTTTAGGCCAGCCTGAAACACATGATAGACCCTGTCTAAAAGAAGAAACGGAGGAAAAGTGAAAAATTCACAATAACTTGAAGCTCTGCCACTGAGAAAATTCCCGAACATATACATATGTGGAAGAGGTCGAAAGTAACAAAAACAGATATGATGTCATGAACTGGCAGAGAATGAGGAACATTGTCAGGCTGGGACAAAAGTGTTACAGAGGTCAGTCTGGGCAACCACTTTGGGAAGGGCGCAGAGGGCAAGGTCACTGCCCTCGACATCATTGAAAGGGCTTTTATTTGTCTTGTCAGCAAATCGTCTTCTCTAGCAAAATCCCCTTTGTGGCAAGAAGTCTCCTGGAGAAGCTATCGAGGCAGGTGCTCGTGATGGAGAAGCTGGCAGCAGTGAGCGACGAAAACCTTGGGAACATCACCTCTGTGGTGGAAGGTAGGCGCGCCACCTGCAGGCCGTCCCTGGAACCAAAGCACACAGGCCTACTCAACGGACTCTCAAAAGCAAATGAAATGTACACACAAAAATGGCACCACCTCCAGGCAGAGCTTCTCAGACATTTTTTATTGCCAAGATTGCCTTTAGGACAGGTAATCTGGATTGTTCTAACTCGAGGAGTTGGTTAAATCCACCCCGTGCCCCATGGATGCAGTTGCACTGGATGAGTTTCCACACCCTGCTGTGGAAGAGAAGCTTCATGGACTCAGTAACCTACAGGGCAGACTGGTTCTGAGAGTGCATGAGGCAGAACTTTGGGGAAGGGTATGATGTGTGTAAAGACCAAAGGTCAACTTCAGATATCATTCTCTCTCTTTTTTTTTTTTTTAGATTTATTTATTATGTATACAGTGTTCTGCCTGCATGTATCCCTGCACCCCAGAAGAGAGCATCAGATATCATTACAGATGGTTGTGAGCCACCGTGTGTTGGGCATTGAACTCAGGACCTCTGGAAGAGCTGCCAGTGCTCTTAACCTCTGAGCCATCTCTCCAGGCCCCAGATATCATTCTTTAGGATGACATCTTGGTTTTTGAAACAGGATCTTTCACTGGCCTGGAGCTCACCAAGTAGCCTAGGCTAGCTAGCCAACAAGCAGCAGAGATCCTCCTGTCTCGTCCTCCCCAGCAGTATGCCACCAGCTTTTGAATTGTGGGTCCTGGGGCTCAAACTCGGGTCCTTGTGCTTTCAAGGCAAGCACTTTTAACAATTGAACTATTCCTCAGCTCCAAAAGCAGAACTTGGCATGGGGAAGATGCCCTTGACTTTTTGTGATCTGACCCCTGGGCTCTTTGATAAAGGCCATCTCTTTCACACCACGTATAAATGGAAATGCAGACTTCTGGGTAATCTGTGACTGAGCTTAAAGCCCTCCTGAGGGTCTCCCTACGAGTTTCTGCCTCTACTGTCTACTCCTGCTATAAGCAGATGACCTTGGCAGATGTCCAAAAGGTGTGAGAATGGCAGATACTCAGGCTGCAAATGACTTGTGGCCCAGTCTCCTCCTGATCATAGGCAACCACAAGTGTGTCTGTGAGGCCCGCACCCCTGCTGCCGAGCTGTTTGCTCATTCTGACCTGAGAGCCACAGGGCAGGGGGAAAGGCTTCTCCAGTAAACACTACTGTGTTCCAGCCCCTCCGAGGGCTTCTCCTGAAATCTGCATCACTGATCCTGATGATCTTGGTCATTGCTAATCACAGGCATTAAGTATGGTCTCCCCAGGGCAGAGCAGCCTTCTGTCTTTGAGCATTCACTGTGTTCACTTTGCTAGCCAAGGAGGAGGAGGTTTTCCTTTAGACTACCTGCCAGTCTCCAAAGAATCTTGTAGTAGTTCCAACTGAAAACCACAGTCTTAGTGACTGTGGTAATATATCCAATCTCATCTACTGAGGAGACTGAGGCAGGAGGATGACAAGATCAAGGCCACCCTGTGCTATATAGAGTGAGGTCAAAGTTAGCCTGGGCAGGACCATATTTCACAATCAATAGGAAAATGATGGCTGGAGATATAACTCAGTAATAGAGCATTCATGGGATGCCGTCACAGGCACACACACACACACACACACACACACACACACACACACACATACACACACACACACACACACAAATGCTTAGAGAATAAAAGAAAGAAGGAAAGAATGGAAAATTGCCTCCAGGCAGACAGGAAGATTGGGAGTTCAAGGTTACCCTTTGAGGGCCAAAATTGGTTACATGAGACGTAGTCTTGGATAATTAATTAATTATATTATATTAATTAAAGTATTTAAAAAATAAAAGTACAATTTGTGAAAAACACAAAAGAGAAAGTCGGGCAGTGTAGCACATGCCTTTAATGCCATCACTCGGGAGGCAGAGGCAGGCAGATCTCTGTGAGTTCAAGGCCAACCTGGTCTACAGAGTGAGTTCCAGGATAGCCAGGACTGTTTCACAGAGAAAACAAAACAAAACACAAAAGAAGAGCTAAAATGTCCCTAGGGACACCTTGCCCACCCCACCCAAGTAGCCATCTTCATCTTTTCAGCAACATCCCATTCTTTTCCAGCCATACCAGAATTCCACAAAAAGCTGTCCTTGCTGTCTTTCTGGACCAAGTGCTGCAGCCCAGTTGGGGTCTACCACAGCTCTGCTGACAGAGTGATCAAACAGCTGGAGGCCAGCTTCGCCAGAACTATCAACAAAGAATTTCCAGGACTGGCAGAACCAGGTACAAACAGCAGTGAGGAAGGCTCCTCTTCCCCTGCAACCTGGGTGGTGAGGACATAAAAAGGCTAGCCTTGAAAAAGAAATTCATACACTCCTGGGAAAAGATGAGCTAGTCAGCTAGACTATAAATGATGCCGAGCATCGGGATGCCAGCGGGGGCAGTTTTTTAAATTCTGTATTCATTTTTTTTTTCTGCTGTGACAAAGCACCAGACAGAAACCGCTTATAAAGGAGAGGTATATGTTGACCAAATTTCAGGAGGTACAGTCCATCATGGCAGGAAAGAAATGGCAGCAAAAAGCAGGTTGGTCCAAGACGGTGGGAGCTCCCCGCCCCCGGCAAAGGTTCACCCCATGGCCATGTCAGCCTGCTAAACCCAGGTTCCAATGCTTCCAGAGCCTCACAAATGGCACCTCTGGCTGAGAAGCAAATAACACTTGAGCCTGTGGGAGACATTTCACACTCAATTCACAATGCCCATATGTCCTCTGTGTCTATATTGCTGCTCATGTTTGTACAGTTGTCCCTTGGTGTCTGTGGATGAATGAATGGTGCTGGAACCTGCCGTGCATAACTGAGTCTGTGTTTGCTTACATTCCTTGCTTATACCAGTATGGATTTGTATATAACCTCCACACTTCCTCCTCTATACCCCAGATGACTTATAATACTTGGTTAGGCAAACACCAAGTGAATGGTTGATAGATTACATTGCTTGGGGAGTGACTGCATTTAGAAGTCTCTACATGTTCAGTATAGATGCGCTTTTCCCTGGGTGTTCTTGGTCTGCAGTTGCTTAGATTCATAGATGTGGGACCCATAGGCACAGAGGGCTGAAAGTAAGCTTTTTCCATGAAAGTGTCTCCAATGTAAAAGTGTCTGATGGTACAATGACTTTTGAAGAATGGGGAGTTTCTATGGAATCCTAGTCTGTGCCTACAATATGAGCCAGCAATTCTGCTCTTAAATACATGAAGAGAAATGGTTTCTTCTAAGCACTCCTGTCTGTGTAAGAAGAGTCACAGCTTTAATCACAACACTACTCAAATGCCATGTGGAAAAGGAGCTACTATAACATACATAATGATATCACAGAGTATCATGTAGTATTTTCTTGGAGACTCTATTACTGTTACAGGCTACAGTCTGGGTGACTCTCACAGAGTCTATGTTGAGTAAAATAAGCCAGACATACTGTATATTCTGTTGGCATGAAAGTTCAAGAACAGGAAAAGCTCACTTATGCTGATAAAACTCAAGTTATGAATCTGGGCATGATGATGACCATCTATAATTGTAACACTTGGGAGATGAGGCAGGACGTTCAGGAGACTTAAGGCCAGCCTTGGATACATGTCAAACTGGACATCAACCTGGGCTGCGTGATGCCTCAGAAACAAAAGCAAAAGTGGAATTCAAATTATTCTTTCCTTTGGGGGAGGCTAAGTAGCTACCAACAGGAAAGGCCCCAAGAATACCTGAAGGGATGCTGGTAATCTTCCACATCCTGACATGTATGGTTTCATGTGGGTATGGAAAATGGGGAAGGTATCTCTCTGGCTGTACCCTGAAGGTTAGCTCACTGTAGCACTTCACCTTATACTACTATGATAAAAGGTCAGTGGAAAGGAAAGGGTGATAAAAGTGAAGGAATAAATGAATGAGCATGAGTACCATAATAAAAGGTGAATGAGGCTGGAGTGGTGGTCCAACAATTAAAATCACTTGCTGCTCTTCCAGAGGACCCCAGTTCAATTCCCAGCACATACATAACAGCTCACAAGTGTCTACAACTCCAATCCCAAGTGATCCAGTTCCCTATCCTGGTCTCCTTGGGCACCGAGCACACACAAACTGCACAGACATACATGCAGGCAAAGACACCCATACAAATAAAAATAAATAATAATAACAAATAGTTTAAGTGAATGCATGAATAACAAATTTCATGTTAAAGATGAATGTAAGTATTTGAAAAAAAGTTAAGTTGATATTAGTACCATGGCAAACAAATGAGCATGTAAGTACTATGATAGTCACATTTCCCACAGTGTAGTGGTTATCATGTTCATCATGAAATATCATGATAAAAGAGAGATGAATGGGTGAGTGAATGAATGGATGGATAAACGAATAAGTGATCATGTTTCTTAAGCCACTTTATCTCTTCCTTCCCAGTGTTTAGAACCCTGGTGTCCCAAATCCTGGACCGCTCTGAACCCCTGCTTCCCTCCAGCCTCTCCTCGGAAGTCATCACCGTGTTCCAGTACTACAGCTTCTTTACCAGCCATGGTGTGAGTGACCTGGAGACCTACCTAAGCCAGCTGGCCAGACAGGGTAAGATGTGGTCTCCTATTGTGATGCGGTAGTGTCTCGGTCTGGCGTCAGCTCTGGTCTTGCTACTCAAGACTACTAGTGAGTATTGCCCTCCACAGTTGAGCTTGCCTTTTCAGTGACTTCTGGACTTTTAACTTTAGTAAACTTCCTGGTATCGGAACAGGATCTCACTAATCACATTGGTCCCCAGCAGGGGTTCACTAAACAGGAAATTGGTAGGTGACTGGAGATCCCATTGTGTTCCTTCCTTTCTCAGCCTATTTGCAGTGCTAGTTCATATTGCCTTTTGTGATAGAATTCTTATTCAGCATAGACAGAAATGGACCCCAAATGAAGACTGGAGTGAGACAGTGGAAAGGAAGGGAAATGAGAAAAGATAAAAAGTACGATAGGCTGCCTGTTCAAGGAGGGTGAAGGGGGTGACTAGAGTGTGGCAAGCTTAGCCCAACCCTTTCACATGGCACTTCAAATATTGTACAGATCGTGTCTGAATAGAGGAAAATCTTTGGGAAAGCAGCAGATATTGGGCAGGGGCTGGTTTCAGGCTCTCAGGTCTATGCTCAATAAAGCCACCAAGATTTAGCAATCCAGGCAAAAAGGACAGGGGGAATAGGGCCTGTTCTCTGGGACCAGGTAGCGTCTGGTACAGCACCACAGAGCAGCAACTTGTCTGGCTCAGATCCAGGTTAGTTCTGCTCTTTCCAGAACATTAAATCCTGCAGCAATATGCAATGCAGTAATGTTAGTTGGCATGGTGAAGGAGACATTTCTGCCCAGCATGGGACACAAGTGCTTTAGAGAAAGCCTTGCAGGTGATATGCCTGGCACAAAAGACCAGGTCAAGGGGGGCCCTTTCTTACAGATGCAATGCCTCGTAGCATACATGTGATACTAGGCTTGCCAAGTGTAGATCAGTTTTCTAGTCAGATATATAAATTACTCAGGGTTTAGTGTGGCAGTTCATGGTCCCAACTCATAGAGATAGACCTTGACACACCCACCTATTCAGCAGGAGGAATGGGGAATGATAGTGGGAAAAAATACCATTTAACCTTTGGGAAATTTGTGGTTGTTTTGTTGTTGTTGTTGTTGTTGGTTTGGTTTGGTTTGGTTTGGTTTCTTGTTTGGTTTAGTGTTTGGTTTTTGCTTTTTTTATTAATTTATTTATTATGTACACAGTGTTCTGCCTGCATGTATGCCTGCAGGCCAGAAGAGGGCACCAGACCTCATTATATATGGTTGTGAGCCATCATGTGGTTGCTGGGAATTGAACTCAGGACCTCTTAACCTCTGAGCCATCTCTGCAGCCCACTGTTTTTTGCTTTTGTTTGTTTGTTTGTTTGGTTGGTTGGTTGGTTGGTTGGTTTTGTTTAAACTTTTATTTTTATCTTAAATTACATATATATGTGTCAAGTGTGGGTCTGTGCATGTGAGTGCAGTGCCCACAGAGACCAGAAAAAGGTATTGTACCCACCTAAGCTGGAGTTTTAAAGGGTTATGAGCCATTCCACCTGGGTGCTGAGAATGAAATTCTCTGATCCTATGCAAAAGCAGTTTGTGTTCGTAAGGCTGAGTCATCTCTCTGGCCCCTTGTTTTTACTTGTTTTTGTTTTTAGATAGGGTCTCTAGTCCAAACTGGCTTCAAACTTACTATGTAGCCATGGATGATCTTGAACTTCTGACCCTCCTGCCTCTATCTCCCAGGTTCTAAGAGTACAGGTGTGTACCACCATGCCCAGTTTATGTGATGTTGAAGACTGAACCCATTCACTTTGTATGTTCGAGGCTCTACCAACTGAGCTACGATCCCAACCCTTCCCTAATTCCTTCCCTTATTTTTCAATGTCTTTTTTTTCTTTCATTATAAAATGGATAATTTTTGCATTACAGAAAGTTTGGAAAATAGAAAAATATATTCAAATCTCTTTCCCCTACTTGTAAACTTTCATTTTCATTTGAACATGCATCGTTTTAGACTTCAAAATCGTATCTTGTTTAGACTAGAGTTTGTTTGTTTGTGTGCTTGTTTGTTTTTGCAGTAGAGAGGATTAAACCCAGGATCCCCAATACCAGACAAGCACTGTACTCTGAGCTAATGTCCCCAATGTGATTATTCCTTATAAAGTATTACATCTTGTTTTTAACTTAATATGCTTCATGCTGTTAAATATCAAATATTTTAAAACATTTTATTGGTTTTTCTATTGCCTTTATATTTAGATATATCCTTTGTATTTGTATTGTCAAATGTTTTCTGTGATTTGTTTGTTTAACAGTTATTTAATACTCCCTTGGGGATTTTATTGGTGTGCTTACTTACAAAGTAGTGGAACTAACAGACGTCCACAGTAAAGGAAACAGGAAATTAAAGCAAAATATCTAGATGATTCTCACCTTTATTCACTATGGGAACATGTTACAAGACGTGAACTTTGGCTTCTTCTTTCCCATATATTTCCCATGTTACTGAATAGACACAGTCTCATCGGTATGTTTTAGAGACCAAGAGATATCCTTGTTGGATATCTAGTTAGGGTCTATATTCTCAGAACATGGTCAGTTTGTCCCAGTGGAATTCAAAATCCTATAGTTTATCATAGATTCCGATTATCTCTAGATTCCGATCAACTAAGTGGCGTTCCCCTTCCAGTCCTGACCCTTCACCTAGGTAAGATTAGGTTTTTGGCATGTGGTTTTGAGTGAAAGACAATGTTTACTATGTTTATTAAGAAGGTGGCAGATGTTTTTTTTTATTTTCTCCATTGTATATTTTTATATTTGACTGTTTAATTTAATCTGTATGGTATGGGGTGATGAATGCCTATAACCACAACATTTGGGAGTAAGAGGCGAGGATCAGGAGTTTCAGGTCATCTTTTACTTCATTGAAAGTTCAAGGCTGGTCTAGGCTATATGAGTTTCATCTTTAAAAAGAAATCTATATTTTTTTGCCACCATTTTAAGGTAGAAATTCAGCTTTACACTTTTTTCCTACAATTCGCCTCATCTCAACACAATTATTTAAATCATTGACCTGTTCTCACTAGTTTGAAATACCACCTTGATCATAGACAGTTTTTATATACACTTGGGTCTGTTGTACATATGCTTTTACTGAAAACATAAGTGAAATGCTTGCATTCTCAACAAACATGCCACTGTGCTATCAGAACATGAGCTCTGGCTCCTCCCCTTCCAGTTGCCATGGTGCAGACCCTGCAGTCACTGAGAGATGAGAAACTTCTGCAGACTATGAGCGACTTCACACCCAGCAACCTCCCTGCCCAACAGGAAGTCCTCAGGACCCTGGCTCTGCTGCTCACCAGAGATGACAATGAGGTCAGCGAGGCTGTGACACTCTACTTGGCAGCAGCCTCCAAAAATGAGCACTTCAGAGAAAAGGTAGGATGCTAAATCTCGGGTATCCAGCCACAGGCTTAACTGTCATTTACCATTAACATACAGCTGCGCTCTAATCCTGGCACTCATCCCAAAGGCTGAAGCAGGAGGATTGCTGAGAATTCACAGTGGGCCTGGAATGGAGCTACCAAACTATGTTACTAGAGTTACTAACATCACAACAATTTCTGATATAGCTCAAAAATGACTGCGAAGGAAGAGTTCAAAACTTCCCAACCCTAGAAGTGGTGAGCATGTGAGGAGTGGGAGCACTGCAGATCTGAGCATCACACCTTGTCTTCGGTTATTGCCCTCTACCCTAGAGATGCACAAAATCTGTTAATGAAAAGCAAAAGTGGTATGGTTTTAAAAGAAAAACCAACAGAGGAAAAAAAACTGATCACTAAACTAAAACCTATAATCATTATTTCATATCTTCCAACAACCCTGAGTCTACAATCTGCTAAAATACGCCAATCAACTCTGAATACACTTGTGAGGCTTCATGATTTTTTTCTTACCCTGAACACTGTGAAAGGCCATGCTATAGTTTATCTCAGATGGTAATTTTTATATATTTTTATACATATATTTTAACTGGTATCTTTCAGTACTTCTTGTTATTTTTACAATACAAAAAATGGGTAACATATTTTTTTAATTTTTATTGTTAAATTTGTTCTTTGACAACTTAGTGCACATATATAGTACATTCTATGGCCTCTTACTCCCACCTTCTCATATCTCTCCCACCTCTGTCATATCTACCCCCTCCCACAAGTCACTTTCCCACACGGTTTCTTTCTTTGATCCGTTGAGTTTAACCAGGGCCGAATGTATGCCCATTGCAACTTAGTAGATAATGCCATTCAGAAAACAGTTAAAGATTAAAAACTCTCCCCCAGAATTCATCAGTATCCATTAGTCAAGAGATAGGGTCCCTACAGGCTCCTCCCCGATACATATGGCAGGCTGTCTTGTTCTGGGCTAGCACAGTCACCAGCTGCTGGGCCAGCAAAAAAAAAAAAAAAAAAAAAAAACAGAAACACACACATAATCTGCAACACAGCAGGATCTCACCTAGGTTGCTGATGAATGTCGAGCCTTCAGCAGGTCAGAGAAAATGAAGAGGAGATACAGAGCAGGTGAACTACTGAACAGACAAACACACACACAAGGACTTTTCTGAGGCCCAAAGCTTAGTTCTTCATTTTATTATTCTTTCTGTTGCTTGTTCTCCTCTATTCCTTTTCTGTTCTGTTCCACCCTGATGTTTTCCTTCTGTTTCTCCTGGTGTCTTCCTTCCAGCTACTTCCTGATATCTTCCTTCTATGTCTTTCTTTCTGCATCTTTTCTGGTATTTATTTTCCTTCTCCCATGTCTTTATATTTTTCCCTTACGGCTTATATATCCCAAAGAATACAAGTAAAAACAACATGTTTTCTATATCCCTTACGTAATTATGTATTACAGGTGAAAAACAAGTTGTCCCAAGAACCCACATGTATTCATACCCAAGCAACTTGCTATAGATTAACAGAGTGTAAGCAACCAAGGTATTTTTCTCAGCCAGTTCTTTTGCTGGCATGCTGTATTTGCAGTTACAAAGTCAGTTTCCGTAGTGTAGTGTTTAATCACATTCATCTAACAAAGAAAGGGCCAATCATTTTATTATTTATCTCAAAAGGTAATTTTATTTAAAAAATATTAAAGTATCCACAAATTAAGTTTATTTAAAATAAAAACTTTTATATACGTAAAACAACCAGTCAGTTAGACTTTAAATCCTTGGGGTACATCCCACTCATCAACAGTTTTCTACATCAGGAAGCTGAGGGCAGAAATTGGTACAAGGAATTAATTATCACCTTTGATCACCAACCCATCCTAGCAAGAAAGGTACATTAGCCAGCAATAGCCAGGCTGCCATTGTTCTTGTTTCTTGACCTCAATGAGTCCCTCACTCAAATAGTTGCCTTCCTATATTGCTCCCCAAGATTTTCCACCTCAAAGCCATTAACAAAAACACCTTAACCTGATCTTATTCACAATTCTACATATCTAAATTCTTTCTAAGGGTGGTGGTTAAATCATTAATCTGCTCCAGCAGCAATGCTTGGAAAAAACTCAATCACCATATATTGTAAGTACCAGTAACACTGGCCAGTGAGGGGCTAGAAACCCCTGAGAATTTTCATACAACCCATAGATTATGAGGGCTATTATGACCATGAAGGCAACAATCAGAGTTATGCTCAATAACATCATGAGGTCCTCAGGACATGTAGTCCCAGGGATTTGCCTCTCCAAGGCTCATGCAGGTATAGCTTTGCCAACTACCCATGAGTTCCAATGCTGCCTATTGGTCCCTCCCATGGTCCCCGATATTCCCCCACCCCAATTACCCTCCTTTGTTCCCCTGCTTTATGTACTATTTGAATGACAAACAGTTCAAAATATCTCACAGCATCTCTCCTTCCTTTCAGGCCTTGCTCTATTATTGTGAAGCACTAACAAAGACCAATCTCCAGCTACAGAAGGCAGCATGCCTGGCCCTAAAGAGCCTGGAGGTAAAGCCCGATCCCAGAGGGCCATAGTCCCACATGGTCCAGAATCAAAGTCCCTCAGCCCTGTCCAGACCCAGAGCCTCCCAACCCTGTCCAGACCCAGATCCCTACACTCCAGTTCAAACTCAGAGGCCCACACTCCTATCCAAACTCAGAGACCCCATCCCTGGTCAACCCTAGAACAACTTGAATCTGTTAAGCTTAGATGCAAGCTGTGGACGTATCGGATTCTTTCCTATTCAAAGCCCCTCTGGTAGCAGCAGTGTCTCATCTCCTTGGAGCTGCATAACCAGGGACCTTTTCCCCCATGAACAATGACTGCACAGGATTTGTTAGTAGCCAAGTGGGGAACAATTGCCCTTTACCACTGCCTATAAGAGCCAGTGTGACTTGGGGTCAATGTTATAAAAAAGTATCTTAACCACCAAAGAGATGATATGATCATTTCCCCAGTGTTTATTTGTATAAATTAGCATAGAAAAGTAAAGCTTGCACTGAAGTATCTCAACTCAGTTTGCCACTTAGTTCGCAGACCCTTTCTCTTGAAATTAGTTTGCAGGAATGTTCAGACTTTGATACCATGACATGATGTCATTATCTATAAAGTTCACAGCTGAGTTTCAAAAAAAAAAATCACACACTGTTTTAAGTCTGTGATTTTGTGTCAGGCTCCACTGTTGTTCTCAGGCACTCAGGAACAGCAGGCTGCATGTTGGCTGCACCTGACAGCTGAGCAATGGTAACTAACTTGCTAGAGGAGACTTTAGTGAGCTGGGAGAGGGCCAAACGCAGACACAAGGAAGCAAAGGCTGCAGATTTCCAACGGAAGTGTGTCTTTCGGCGGGCTAGAATTCATGTGTGACCCGCCTTTACCACAGAAACATTAGGAGGGGGCCCAGGAAAAGGAATGAGAGGGCCACACCTTAATGCTTACCTTAGATGGGCACATGGGACAAGGAGCAGACCTGAGGGGACATGAAAACAAGGGATTAGTGCCATAAAAGGAAAAGTTAATGATCTGTGAAGGAAAACAACCGTGGGAAATTTTGCCTTCCTTGTGACTTGACAGAAAATTACCTTCAAGTGACCCAACCCACACTCCCCCCCCAAAAAATGTCCCCATTGGGTAAGTATTTATTTGGGCACCCTCCTGGTGTGCTGTGACTCATCAGAGCTGAGTGTTTCTGCCACAGTCTTCACATGGATAGACACATGGGGTGCAGCAGTCTATCTGGGCTCTACCTGACTTGTTTTAACCCGGGCAAATGCCCAGCTGAGCCTACCACATTGCTGCTCTCTTCCTTTTCTCCCGGAAGATACAGTCCCTTCTGGGAACAGAAGCCCTCTTTCCAAACCAACCCCAACTCATGAAAAGAATTCCACACAACATGTTGTTTCAATACAAGCACAAGAGTTTTAAAATGAGAGTAGTTTTGGACTCAGTGGGCTACAGCTTAAAGAATTAGCTGTTTAGTCTCCTGGAAGACTGGGTCTAAGTGTCAGGCACTAATCTGTTTTCCCTGACAGGCCACCGAAAGCATTAAAATGCTAGTGACCCTGTGTCAGTCTGACACTGAAGAAATCAGAAACGTGGCCTCAGAAACGCTCTTGTCTCTCGGTAAGTTTGTTTCTTATATGTTTGCTGACTTCTGACATTCTCCTGGGAACTGGAAGGACATTTCTTGTCCTCTGCTTTGTCTGCCTTCCCTTTGGCTGTGCACCCACTGCTCCTAGAACAGGAGAACTCGATTGTGTCCAGATCTTGCCACGCCCCTTGTTCTCTCTGCACAAGAATCAGGGTTTTTCTCCCTTGTTATCTCCAAGACTTCGTCAGTCTATGCCCTGTTTAGAATCAAGACTATGATTTGAGAATGGTGGCTCATACCTGTAACCCCAGCACTGAAGGGTGGAGGCAGGAGAATCACCTCAAGTTCAAAGACAGTTTAGGCTACACTGTGAAACTGTCTCATACCACAGAAGGCAAATAGGAACTCTAGAAATCCTGGCATGGCTGCCAGTGTGAGTATGACACACCAAAGTCAATGTGCCTGACCTCTGCCCTGAATGCTGTGCACCCCCAATTGCTTCAGCCAGCCTCACGGCGACCTCTGACTACCTGCTGTCCTATTCTCACCAAGCATCATTTCATTCCGGGATATCCAGATAGCCCCTCCCCACTTCACTTTGTGAAGGTTTATGCCTTTTTTGCTCATTTGGGTAGACTTGGGAGGATGAGGATGACAAAGATTTTTTTTTTCTTTTTCCTTTTTTAAAAGACAATGTCTTATGTATCCCAGGTTAGCCTTAAACTCACTATGTAGCCTAAAAATGGTCTTGAATTTCTGATCCTCCTACCTCTACTCCCAGTGAGCCAGCATTACATGTCTGTGACACAGTTTCTGATTTATTTGGTGCTAATGATCAAATCCAGGATCTTGATCATGTTAGACCAGTGCTCTACCAACTGAGCCACCATCCTCAGCCAACAGAAAAACCTTTCTTAACTCTGCATAAAACAGTCAGTTGTTGCTGGTAGCTCACAGCTGTAAATCAAGCACTTCAGAGGTTGAGGCAAGAGGCTTGCAACAAGTTTGGAGCTAACTCCACATAGAGGGATGCTCTCTTAGCCTAGACACACGGGGGAGGGTCTAGGCCCTACTCCAAATGATATGACAGACTTTAAAGCTCCCCCATGGAAGGCCTCGCCTTCTCTGGGGAACAGAAAGAGGATGGGATAGGGGGTCTGTGGGGATCAGGGGAGGACGGGAGAAGGGGAAGGAGAGAGAACTAGGATTGACATGTAAAACAAGCTTGTTTCTAATTTAAATTAAAAAATTTTACTTAAAAAAAAAAAAAGTGTGGCCGGGCGTTGGTGGTGCATGCCTTTAATCCCAGCACTCGGGAGGCAGAGGCAGGCAGATCTCTGTGAGTTTGAGGCCAGCCTGGTCTCCAGAGGAGTGCCAGGATGGGTTCCAAAGCTACACAGAGAAACCCTGTCTTGAAAAAATCAAAACAAAAAAAAGTTTGGGGCTAGCCTGGGCTACATATTGAGTTCCAAGCCAGTGTGGTCTACAAAGTCCCTATCTACACAGAGAGAGGAGGAGAGGGCAGGGAGAAAGGAATAAGGGAGAGTTATAGAAACCTTTACTATAGTCACATAGTCTAAAGTCTAAAAATACTCCTCTAATAGCATTTAAGCTTAATCCTGCCAATGTCTCCAGGAAAAAAAGCCACTCTGGTTTGACAATACATCTTCATCATGTGAAGAAGACTCATGGTTCTTGCAACCACCATGAAAAAACCCATTTATTTTGAGACCTTCTTTCTTATGGGATTAATAAGAACTAGTGCTGCTGTTGAATACACCATTGTTTGCAGAGGAAGCTTGGCCAGCCTGTGTTTGCTTAAAGGATAAAATAGTTATTCCGTGTGGCTGTTTTAGATATAGAAGTTATTTAATTCTCTAAAACATACCCAGGGTATTAGTGGCTTAAAGTCTTTTATCCCTCAGGGTTCTGAAATAACAATGAAGGTTTAAAAAATAAACAACAGCCAGCTGTTTGCAAAGCACAGTCAGCGTCTGTCTCCCATTCCATGGAAAATTGAGGAGGGGTGTGCCTATGCCCCAAGACTCACTTAGCTGCACTCCTGGCTGCATCTCCAAGAATGAGCACCACCTCTGCTCCTCCACCACCCTTTCCACGGGACTCACTCTTTCACCCAGGCCTCACCAGCATGATTCAGGCATCTGAACTTGCATACCCAACTCTCCAGGGGAGCCTAATGTCACTGTGCCTCTGCTGCACCCAATGTGGCTGCTCCCTGAGGTCTCCAGGGGGGCCCTGCACTGGGATTTTAAAGCCTTTTGGGTGATTATAATATGAAGTAGAGTTGGAAGACCCCACCCCTGAACTCAATGTTGTGACTTTTCCTTGGCCCTAATGCAAAAATACTGGTGCATTTTTCTCACACACAAGTTTATCTTGTATGCGAGAGTGTGTATGTGTTAGGGTCATGCCTGTTAGGGCACCTGTGTGAAGGTACTTCCCGTATGTAAATCAAAGGGATTGAACTCAAGTCACCAAGCTTAGTTGCAAACATCTTTTACCTGTGGCCTTGGCTATGCTCGAACAGCCAGTGGGGTCTATGACTCCCCAAATCCAGGCTTTCTGTCCTCTGAAACTCTGCCTGTATCATGACGCTTCAATCAAAGCTCACTGACAGCCAGGTATTAGCAAAATCTCCTGAGGGCCAGCTCTGGTTGTGTTACTATAACAATAAGGGCTGAACATACCTCATTTCAAATGATTTTTTTTTGCTATATTTTTTGTGCAGATTTTTTTATTCAAATTAGAAACAATATTGTTTTACATGACAATCCCAGATCCCTTTCCCTCCTGGCCTCCCCTACCACCTCCCCCAACTAACACCCTACCTATCACATATCCTTTCTGCTCCCCCTGGACGGTGAGGCCTTCCATAGGGTGTCATCAGAGTCTTTCGTATCTTTTGGGATAGGGCCTAGGCCCGCCCCCTTGTGTCTTGGCTCAGGTAGTATTCCTCTATGTGGAATGGGGAAAACAAAGTCCCCACCTATGCGAGGGATAAGTACTGAACTACCACAGGAGGTCCTGTAGATTACCGAGGTTTCCTCACTGAAACCCATGTTCCTGGGGTCTGGATCAGTCCTATGTTGGTATTCCAGCTATCAGTCTGGGGAGCAAGGGTTCCCCAATGTTCAGGTCAGCTGTTTCTGTGGGTTTCACCAGCCTGGTCTGGACCCCTTTGCTCTTCACTTGTCCTTTTCTGCATCTGGATTCCAGTTCAGTTCAGTGATTAGTTGTGGGTGTCTGCTTCTACTTCCACCAGCTGCTGGATGAAGGCTATAGGATGGCATATAAGGCAGTCATCAATCTCATTATCAGGGGAGGGCATTGTTGCTTAGATTGTTAGCTGGTGTCATCTTTGTAGATCTCCAGACATTTCCCTAGTGCCTGATCTCTCTGTAAACCTAAAATGTCTCCCTCTATTATGGTATCTCCTTTCTTGTTATCTTCTATTCTTCCCCCAACTCAGCCTTTCTGCTTCCTCATGTCCTCCTCACCCCTCCTCTTCTCCACTTCTCATTCTTATTTCAAATGATTTAACAAAAAATGTTTCAGTTTGTTGCCTTTTTTAAATTTGGGATATTTGCATATACATGAGATATCTTAGAAGTGAAGTCTAAGTTTAAAGCTCAAAATTGTGTGTTATAAAGGCAATTTTATGTACCATTTTAAATTCACATATATTGGACTATAACCTATCATGCCCAAGGGTTATGAGGCTCCCACTTGTGGAGTCTTACAGTGTTCAGGGATCTGGACATTGAAGCATTTTGGATTGGGAATTTTGGATTACAGATGTTTAACCTGTGCTGGGGGTGGCATTCATAGAGAACTTTAGCTCTATTTTTGAGGCTCTGTCCTTCTCTAAAACCAATCATGTTAGTATATTCCCAATGTTTTGTTAACCTATGTTCTCCTTCACATGAAGGAGCTGTGCATGGCTGGTTAAATCAGTTTGCCTCACTAAGGAAGCCGCATCCTATCTGTCTCTATGCTTCATTTTCCCCTTTCAAAAGCTCAAGACAATGCTGGAAATTTAAGATACTGTGCTAAGCAAATTTACTCCTTTTTTTTTTTTTTTTGAACTAGGAAGGAACCCCTGGTCTCCTGCTTGCTAGGCAAGTGCCCTACAACTGGGCTAAATAAACATCTCCCTTTAAAACATTTTATTCCGCCGGGCATTGGTGGCTCACACATTTAATCCCAGTACTCAGGAAGCAGAGGCAGGCGGATCTCTGTGAATTTGAGGCCAGCATGGTCTCCAGAACAAGTTCCAGGACAACCTCCAAAGCAATACAGAGAAACCCTGTCTTAGAAAAAAATTATTCTGAGATAAGATTTCACTGAGTTGTCCAGGTTTTGCTTGAACTGGCAGTGATCCTTCTGCCTCAGGTTCTTGTGTAGGTAGGATTACAGGCCTATACCAGCATACCTGGCTTTATTTATTTTCTTATGACCACTTCTCAGTATAGCCAAGGCAGTCTTTTGACTCTCTCTGTAATCTGAACATTATCCCTGGCTCATGCCCAGCCCTCATATTCCTATATTTTAATCATTTTAATAGTAATAAAATTGATTTTCAAAATGTTAGCTATATAGGATGTTGCTACAGAGGCCAGAGAGATGGCTCAGTAGGTAAAATGCTATCTGCACACATCTGAAATGAACTTAGTCCTCAGAAGCCAATTAAAAAGCTAGAAGCACACACATCTGAAATAACAGCATTCCTACAGTGAAGTGGAGACAAAAGACTCACTCAGAACACAAAGACCAGCTAGAGTGGAGTATGCAGTGCAGTTGAAACAAGAGGGACCAGGATGCTGTCCCTGACCTCCACATGCATGTAGTGGTGCAGTGCACTCACATGCACCCACATGAATAATAAGTAAATAAACAAAAGATGTGGCTCTAAACAAAACTGAATTCTCCCCCTTGTGTCTTGGCTCAGGTAGTATTCCTCTATGTGGAATGGGGAATACAAAGTCCACACCTATGCGAGGGATAAGTACTGAACTACCACAGGAGGTCCTGTAGATTACCGAGGTTTCCTCACTGAAACCCATGTTCCTGGGGTCTGGATCAGTCCTATGTTGGTATTCCAGCTATCAGTCTGGGGAGCAAGGGTTCCCCAATGTTCAGGTCAGCTGTTTCTGTGGGTTTCACCAGCCTGGTCTGGACCCCTTTGCTCTTCACTTGTCCTTTTCTGCATCTGGATTCCAGTTCAGTTCAGTGATTAGTTGTGGGTGTCTGCTTCTACTTCCACCAGCTGCTGGATGAAGGCTATAGGATGGCATATAAGGCAGTCATCAATCTCATTATCAGGGGAGGGCATTGTTGCTTAGATTGTTAGCTGGTGTCATCTTTGTAGATCTCCAGACATTTCCCTAGTGCCTGATCTCTCTGTAAACCTAAAATGTCTCCCTCTATTATGGTATCTCCTTTCTTGTTATCTTCTATTCTTCCCCCAACTCAGCCTTTCTGCTTCCTCATGTCCTCCTCACCCCTCCTCTTCTCCACTTCTCATTCTTATTTCAAATGATTTAACAAAAAATGTTTCAGTTTGTTGCCTTTTTTAAATTTGGGATATTTGCATATACATGAGATATCTTAGAAGTGAAGTCTAAGTTTAAAGCTCAAAATTGTGTGTTATAAAGGCAATTTTATGTACCATTTTAAATTCACATATATTGGACTATAACCTATCATGCCCAAGGGTTATGAGGCTCCCACTTGTGGAGTCTTACAGTGTTCAGGGATCTGGACATTGAAGCATTTTGGATTGGGAATTTTGGATTACAGATGTTTAACCTGTGCTGGGGGTGGCATTCATAGAGAACTTTAGCTCTATTTTTGAGGCTCTGTCCTTCTCTAAAACCAATCATGTTAGTATATTCCCAATGTTTTGTTAACCTATGTTCTCCTTCACATGAAGGAGCTGTGCATGGCTGGTTAAATCAGTTTGCCTCACTAAGGAAGCCGCATCCTATCTGTCTCTATGCTTCATTTTCCCCTTTCAAAAGCTCAAGACAATGCTGGAAATTTAAGATACTGTGCTAAGCAAATTTACTCCTTTTTTTTTTTTTTTTGAACTAGGAAGGAACCCCTGGTCTCCTGCTTGCTAGGCAAGTGCCCTACAACTGGGCTAAATAAACATCTCCCTTTAAAACATTTTATTCCGCCGGGCATTGGTGGCTCACACATTTAATCCCAGTACTCAGGAAGCAGAGGCAGGCGGATCTCTGTGAATTTGAGGCCAGCATGGTCTCCAGAACAAGTTCCAGGACAACCTCCAAAGCAATACAGAGAAACCCTGTCTTAGAAAAAAATTATTCTGAGATAAGATTTCACTGAGTTGTCCAGGTTTTGCTTGAACTGGCAGTGATCCTTCTGCCTCAGGTTCTTGTGTAGGTAGGATTACAGGCCTATACCAGCATACCTGGCTTTATTTATTTTCTTATGACCACTTCTCAGTATAGCCAAGGCAGTCTTTTGACTCTCTCTGTAATCTGAACATTATCCCTGGCTCATGCCCAGCCCTCATATTCCTATATTTTAATCATTTTAATAGTAATAAAATTGATTTTCAAAATGTTAGCTATATAGGATGTTGCTACAGAGGCCAGAGAGATGGCTCAGTAGGTAAAATGCTATCTGCACACATCTGAAATGAACTTAGTCCTCAGAAGCCAATTAAAAAGCTAGAAGCACACACATCTGAAATAACAGCATTCCTACAGTGAAGTGGAGACAAAAGACTCACTCAGAACACAAAGACCAGCTAGAGTGGAGTATGCAGTGCAGTTGAAACAAGAGGGACCAGGATGCTGTCCCTGACCTCCACATGCATGTAGTGGTGCAGTGCACTCACATGCACCCACATGAATAATAAGTAAATAAACAAAAGATGTGGCTCTAAACAAAACTGAATGACCCATTGCCTGGAGGAGCACTGTGTGTTTTGGGGATTATCTTCTTTAGGGTTTCTGCTGCTGTGAAGAGACACCATGATCATAGCAACTTTTATAAAGGAAAATATTAATTGAGATGGTGGCTCATTGTCATCTTGAAAGGACATGGCAGCTGGGAGTATGGTGAGGAAAAGGAGCTGAGCGTTCTACTTCTTGGTCCAAAGGCAACAAGAAGTGAACTGAGATACTGGGTGTGGCTTGAGCATACATGAAACCTCAAAGCCCACCTCCACAGTGACACACTTCCTCCAAAAGGCCACACCTACTCCAACAAAGCCACACCTCCCAATAGTGCCATTCTCTATGAGCTTATGGGGATCAATTACATTCAAGCTACTACAGGGCTAAAGACTAACTTTCAGCTAAAGCTTGAAAGCCTAACTTTTAAAAATTAACTTTTACCACTAAGCATGTAGATGTACATAATGATATAATGCATAATGATGTCTATATATGATATAGTGAACTAAATCAATATAGAATATGTTCAAGTTACATAGAGATTCAATACGGTGAGGTCAAAGATAACCCTTACTGAAATCCCTAATGCACTAAACAAAAATTAATCTGTCGTGTGCAATTGGCAGCAGCTGGCAAGAACTTGTGCTTTGTTTTGTGCTTTGCCTTTCATCTGGTCTCTAATATTAACTCAAAAGTTCTTGGTTCTTCTAAGCATTGCCTAGAAATCTATAACATAAGAACAGTAAAACAACTTTTTCTTAACCTAGTAACTAGCTAAGATAGCAGCAGAAGGCTGAGGGTACAGTTCAGTGGGAAAGTGTTTGGTCCCATACATGAAGTCCTGGGTCCAATCCCCAGGAACTGTGAGAAAAATGTAGCAATAGCATGGCTCCACCATGTTATCCTGCATGATGGATAAACAAGTTAAATTCAAAGTGTTATTCATGTTTAAATGTTCCCTATCCAGGAGAAGACGGACGGCTGGCATATGAACAGTTAGACAAATTCCCTCGAGACTGTGTTAAAGTCGGAGGTCGTCATGGAACCGAAGTTGCAACAGCCTTTTAAATTTCACTTTAGCAATGCCTGACTGCTGTCCCGACACCTGGCCCTTGCCATCAAGAGGGTGCTGTGCTGTGAGCAGACAGCACCTGGAACTTGCAGGGTGCTGCCGCTGTTGCCAGTGTAGAGATCTCAAAGTCCAATTGTGCTGTACTGTCAACTTTTCCTTGTCCCACAGAACGGGGCTGTGCAGAACTCACCAGACCGCATCACAGTTGTGTCTGACAGCACTTCAAAGTCCATCTTACTTTACTGTGAAATTTGCAAATAGTCCTCTTCACACCTGTTTGGAAGTTCATCTGTAAGCTTGAACTCTTCATGCGCTATTTGGATAAGTATCATATGCCTTGCCACTTTTCTGCTGGGTTGGTTCTCAGGGTTGAGTGGCCCTTTAGCTACCTACTTTTATTTAAAAAAAAAAAAAAAGGCACAAAAAGAAATTTCTTCAAAGAGAAGTTTTCTTAGAGAACCCGACAAAATGATCAATTGTAAGAGACTAAGTTTCGGAGCTGAGGATGTAGATCCCGATGTGCCCCCTCGGTGGGCACCGAGCTTTGGTTCATCTTCAGCACCACAAACTGCGGTGTGCTCCCCATGTAATCTCAGTGCTCAAAGGGGGGAGGAAGTAGGGCCAGAAGTTCAAGGTCATCTTCAGCTACCTACGGAGTTCCCAGGGCAACTGTGGAGGGTGGAACCTAAGTTTTATATCTTAGTTTTGTTTTGTTTTAGTTGCTACTATTTGTTTCATTTTTCCATCTTGAGAATTCCCATATCATCCATCCAAATGGTTTAAAGATTAATTAAAAGTACTGCATCTTTAAGATTGTACCTATACTATTAAAAGTAAACAAAAAACTTGAAGCTTAAGCTTTTGTTCTTTAACAAGAAGCATCTTTATCACACTCTGCTTGTTTGATTTGTGTTTTATCTTGAGACAGCCTCACTATTGCAGTCCTGACTGTCCTGGAACTCAATATACAGACCAGTCTGACCTTGAACTTGCAACATTTCTTCAGCCTCTGCCTCCAGAGCTGGAATTACAGGTGCAAGCCACTAGGCCTGGTTCCACATTTGTAATTTTTTTTTCCTAAGACAAATACAAACCCCAAAGTTGTAGATTTAGAAAGATGTACTGTTCTTTCAGGTGGGAGCCTGGAGTTTGGATGAGTCCTAACTGGGTAGAATAGTGGGGTAGTGGAAGTAATCCCTGCTTCCATAAAAATTGTCCAGGAGACTAGGAAGTGCCTGGCCTTAAGAGATGGAAACCACCCCATAACTTCAATAGAAGCTCAGAACCAGGGTGGAGATTCAGCCACTTACTAAGTGTGGAAGGGGTGGGTATGCCAAGACATCACAACAACATGTGTGAGTGCAATTTAAACTGTATTCTGGATGTGTTTGTATAAAGTACCAATTAGATATTAGTTTCAATATTTACATTTTAGCAAGACTTTTAAAAGGGTTCATTTCATTTTAAAGTGAAATTTGCCAGACCTCTGGCAACATATTCTTTCAACTGTGAAGTTCCACTGTACATTTTTGTAAATTTGTAAATATATATGCATATATCCCTCATTTTAAAGGTACACTGTACAGTTATAGTGTGTATAGGCTATAGTCTTTGTTAAATGGTTGAAATGTCTCTTTTATAGAAAGTCAAATCACAGCTATTACAGAGCTTTTGTTTGGTTTGGGATTTGAAACTTTTTAACTATTGCATGGATAATTTCACATCTTTTGTAGTCACCTCTGTGTTTTAGTTTTGGTTGGGGAAGTGCTTTCAGTTTTGTGGTATTTGTATTCATCACTCTTTCAATCATGTAAGTTGAAATAAAAATTATTTTTAATTACTAGTCTAATGTAGAATCTGATATATATTTTAATTTTTATCTATTATTATGTGTATGCATAATGTGACAGGGGGGGCATGCATGCCATGGTGCATGCCTTGTGGAAGTCAAGGGACAACTTTGTAGAGTTCGTTCTCTCTTTCCCCCTTTACATAGGTTCCTCAAATCAAGCTCAGATTGTCAGGCTTGCATAGCAAGGGCCTTTCCTCACTAAGCCATCTCACGGTCCTTATCTATTTTGCAATTCCCTTCTTGAGTTAGTATTTATACAATACATCACTACACGTTGTCCACTTTGATTTTATTATCCTGAAAATCCTAAGGGAATTCTGTATCCTGATATAAGTAGTAGACTAGAATACGCAGGAGGAAAGCAACTGTTTAAAAATATCTTCCCAGCACGCAGGAGGCAGAGGCAGGCAGATCTCTGAGTTTGAGGCCAGCCTGGTCTACAAAGTGAGTGCTTGGGCTATACAGAGAAACCCTGTTTCAAAAAGCAACACAAAAAAGTAAACAAACAAACAAAAGAACAAAACCTCTTCAGACTGAAGCAGCAGCCCACCTGCCTTTCCTGAGTGATAAAACTATTCCACAAAAGCCATAGTTTCCGCTCTTGAAACCAGCCATTCTGTAAGTATCAAGGCCTAGCCAGATCTTCATCCGCTTTGCATTGGTCTGCCCCTCTCATCTGTACTCAGTATAGGTTCATTGTATATTTGTAGTATCTTCTCCCAATTTTTATTCAGTTATTTGAGTGTGTGTGTGTGTGTGTGTGTGTGTGTGTGTGTGTGTGTGTGTGTGTGTATGCACATGTGTGCGCCAAGTTTGCTCTTGTGCACACATGGAAGCCAGGATAAGTCATGTGTCCTCTGTCACACTTCACCTATTCCTTTGAGGGTCTGTCTGGGGTTCGTATTCGTATATCTAAGCTAGAAGCCAGCAAGACCCAGCAATCCTCCTCTCCCCTCCTCTCCTCAGAGCTGAGGTTATAGGCTTATATGGGATGCCCTGCTGGAATCTGAACTCTGATCTTCATGATTTCACAGCAAGTACTTCTAACAGCTGAGCCATCTCTCCAGCCTGTTCCCTGTCCACCCCACCACACTTTTGAGACCAGGTCTTTATAGCTGAGGCTGCCCTTGAACTCATTATACAGCAGATAATGACCTCAGTGAATACTTCCATTGAGATTTCAGAAGACAAGCCTGGAGGTCAGGCATGTGTGGCAGGGTGGAAGTCCTGCAAGTGTTGCCTACCCACCCCCACCAGGAAGGCAATGCAGGAAGCTGCACTGAGTGAACCCAAAGCTGCAATGGAAGAAGTTATGGCCAGAATTCGGGGCAGGAAGCTGCAACTAGTGAACAGAGCCAGCCTGAGGGAGCAGTCAGGTGGGCTGCAGTTAGCAAGGCTCACATCACTGTGTCCAGTATGCTGGCCATGGAGCTGCAGGACCTCATGTTTTCTCTGCTGGGATTTTGTTTCACCTTCACTTTTGTCTGCTCTTTCCTTTCAGTGCCATATTCCTCCCTTCTGAAATGTGAATGTTTATCCTGGGCTATTGGATCTTGGATTTACAATGAAGTTTGGCTGGGGTCTCAGATTTCCAACTTGGACATTTGAGCAGTAGAAGAACCGTTAAAACTCTGGGGACTCTTGGAGATGGACTAAATGGGTATTTTCCCAGGAGAATGAGAATGGACTTTCCCGAAAATAAACTGTACTTTATGCTAAACATTCTTCAAAGGCTGCTCAACTAATTAGAACTACCATGATTGTGGGGAGGTTGGAATGTTGCAGGGCTTGAACCTAATTACAAAACTACCCAGGGCTAGATTTGCCCCCTTGGTAGCCAGCCATTTATTGTCATCTTTGTCAATGACTTACCACTTTTGTGACTAGTGGGTCTTTGGGAATGTACAAACAGACCCCTACCTTCTACCAACCCAAAACTAAGACATCTGAGGCTGTGCAGAGGGGATGTCACCCATCCACCTGATGTCCCTATTCAAAAAGTGTAATAATTTCTGACTTCCTCTGCTTTGTTACTATAAAGATTTCACAAGACTGTTATGTTGGAACTTGCTATTTAGGGTAACCTAAACCTGTGTTTCCAGGCCTGGTTGCTCATATTTAGCCCCCAAATAAACTCTCTCCTGTCCCCTTTAAGATGAGAGCTTGTGGGTTTTGTTCTGTTTGTTGTTATTTACACTAATATGGGGCATGAGCATTTGGGAATACGGGTTTTTTGTTTGTTTTGGTACAGGGTCTCACTGTGTATCTCTGGTTGGCCTCAAACTCATAGTCCACCCGACTTTGCCTCACAAGTGCTGGGGCTAAAAGTGTCCCTCACTATGTCCAGTTGGTTTGTACCTTAAATACCCACAGAGACTCATGTGCTTAAGGCTTGGTCCTCAATTTACAGTGCTGCTGGGAGGTAATAGAACTTTAAGTGGAGCCTACTAGGAGTGAGCGGGGCATGCCTTGAAGAGGTACTGGGACCTTGCCCCTTCCTGTCTCTCCTTGCTTCCTGGCCACCATAAAATGAACAGCTTCACTCCATCACATGCTCCCTGCCATGGTCTACCTCTCTATAGGATCAAAAAAAAGGGGTCAAGGCACAATGGCCCACACTTTTAATTCCAGAATTCAGGAGGCAGAGGCAGTCAGATCTCTGTGAGTTTGAGGCAAGCCTGATCTACATAATGAGTTCCAGGACAGCAAAGAATATGTAGAGAGACCCCATCTCAAAAACAAAAAAGGCAAGGGAGCCCACTGACTCAGCTGACTCTAACCATGAGTCAGCATTTCCTCTTTATAAATTGTTCATCTCAAATACATTGTCACAAGTGTTCCTTGTAAGGAACACTTACAAGGAGCCTAAAAACCAGGTCCTCTAATTTGCTGCATAGTTGCCATGACTGGCAAGTGAGTCAGGGACTGGGCAGCAAATGTGCGGCAGTAAGGACAAAAGACATAATAATGTCTGCCCTTGTAAGATTCATTGTCTGGCAAAAGGATAACAAGGCCAAGAAGGAAAAAAAATCAATGATTGTAAAAGACACCATGACCACAGCAACTCTTACAAAGAAAACATTTAATTGAGGTGGTGGCTTACAGTTTCAGAGGTTCAGTCCATTATCGTCATGACAGGGAGAGCATCACAGTATGCAGGCAGAGTGGTGCTGGAGCTGAAAGTGCTACATCTTGCAAGCAACAGGAAGTTGACTGAAAGCCACATGGGCGGAAGCTTGAACAAGAGAGACCTCAAAGCCCATCCCCATACACTTCCTCCAAGACCACACCTCTTAATAGTGTCACTCCGTTTGGGGGCCATTTTCTTTCAAACCACCACAGGGACATAACCCAGTATTAGAGCAAACGTTTAGGAAGCTTGAGGCTCTGAGCTTGAACTCCAAAGGAGGGGAAAGGTAGGATAAGGAGAGGTAAGCTCAAAGGTCACAAGTTTAAAGGCCAGAAAAAGCCTATAAAATGTGTGGATGAAAACTGAATAGAGAAGTCATGTAGATTATCTCTGGAAAGAATATTCCAGGGGGCTGAAGAGATGACTCAGTGGTTAAGAGCCCCACTGCTCTTCCAAAGGATCTAGGTTCAATTCCCAGGGCCCATGGGGCGCTTGCTAGTGTCTAATGCCCTCTTCTGCCCTTTTGGGTACCAGGTACACACATGATGCACAGACATGCAGGCAAAGCATGCCTACATATGAAATATTTTTAAGAAATATTCCAGAGGCAAGAAATATAAGGCTTGGAAAAATCACCATGTTTGGTGTTTCGAATTTCCTATACTCTTTACATCCTCATACCTTCACAAGTTCATTTAACTGAAGTACACAATCCGGGACATTTTCTTATGTTTGGAATATGTTTTGAAAAATAAAAACAAGAGAATTTGTTAGGAGGTTGGAAATGGAATGGGAAACAGGTTGAGGATGAGTGCAAATATTTTAGGCTGAACAATAAACTAAAAATATGTATATATCGACAGAAAACCCTACAGCAAGAAGGAAACACAGGAACTATTTTAGACATGATAAAGTTTACATCCAAAGATCAAGATGGTGATTTAATATGAGTCTGGAATTCAAGTGAGAAGTCTTATTATAAATGTAAAATTATGGGAGACTGAGGCAAATGAATAAATGGATCACTATGTGTTCGAGGCTTGCCTGGTCTACATAGCTAGTTCCAGGCCACCCAAAGCTACAGAATGAGACTGTCTCAATAAACAAACTACACACACAGAGAGAGACAGAAACAGAGACAGAGACAGAGACAGAGAGACAAAGACAAACAGAGAGAAAGAGACAGACAGACAGACAGACAGACAGACAGACAGAGAATTGAGCACCAGAGCATAATCACAGTACTTGGTGGACTGAGACAATAAAAATCAAGGTCTTGAGGGCTGAGCTGGAGAGATGGCTCAGTAGTTAAGAGAGCATACTGCGTTCCAGAGGACCCCAGTTCGGTTCCCAGAACCCAATTCAAGCAGTTCACAAACACCTTTAAATTCTTGGTCCAGGGGAATCTAGTGTCCTCTTCTATCCTTCAAAAGCACTTATACTGATATATGTACACACACACACACACACACACACACACACACACACACACACACACACACACTGCACTGCACATATTGCATCAGGATCAATTATACTAGGACATACCCCTGTCACTCACCACCACCCCACTTCCATCAATGGATGTATATATTGGGTTTGGGGTTGTTTTGTTTGATTTTGTTTTTTGTTGTTGTTGTTGTTTTTGTGGGGGGTTTTTGATACAAGGTCTCATATAGCTCAGTCTGCCTCAAAGTCACTATTTTTGCAGTATACTTACTTCAAAGATATGTGTATGTGTGTGGGTATGGGGTGGAGGTTATGTGCCTGTGGGTGACTGCAGAGTGTTAAACAAACACACACAAGTCTTTATGGGCTGGAGAGAGGACTCAGTGGTTAAGAGCATGCCTTGTTCTTGCAGAGGACCTGGATTTAATTCATAGAACCCACATGGCAGTTCACAATCCAATGTCCTCTTCTGACTTCCCAGGGCACTGGGCACACACATTGTGTAGAAATACATTCTGGCAAAAGTTATATACATAAAACAAAAGAAATCTATCTTTTGGGGGTAGGTCAAGGCAGGGTTTCTCTGTAGCTTTGGAGCCTGTCCTGGAACTCACTCTGTAGATCAGGCTGGCCTTGAACTCACAGAGATCCCCTGCCTCTGCCTCCCAAGTGCAGGGATTAAAGGCGTGCACCACCACCACCTGCTAGAAATCTATCTTTAAAAAAATTCAGATGGGGATTGACTGAAGAAGAGTCTCAACATCCTCCTCTGGACTCTGCAAACACCTGCACACACATGTACATAACCCCCAGCCACACACGTGTATATATAAGTAAAAGAAAACTGAGAGTCTGAAATATATACTGCAAAGATAGCAAACGAGGCAAACTGAGGTATATGAGACCTTGTCTGTCTGGGTGGTTGGGTGGGCAGGTGGGTGGACTGGGGATGAAGTAAGTAGTATGTCCTTGTGTGACCCCGATGCAGTGGTGTGCTCTTGTGGGGGGCTGGTGCTGGGAAATCACTTGAGCTCAGAAGTTAAGGTGATTCTAGGCAAAAATGGCAATAACCTGTCTGAAAACAAGCCAAACACATATAATTGAGCATGCTTGGGATACAGAAGTCATTTAAAGACAAGATATTGACTTAGCTGGTTTATACAGAGGAAAGATGGAGGAGCATATATAACCAAGAGTTGTTTGTTTTGTTTTTAAACTTTTTTTTAAAGATTTCATTTTCCAGGCTTGGTCATGCATGCTTTTAGTCCCAGCACTTGTTAGGCAGTGGCAGGCAGATCTCTGTGAGTTCCAGGCCAGCCTGGTCTACAGAGTGAGTTCCAGGACAGGCTCCAAAGAATACAGAGAAACCCTGTCTCGAAAAACCAAAAAAAAAAAAAAATATTTATTATGTATACAGTGTTCTACCGTGTTTGCCTGCACACTAGAATAGGACACCAGATCCCATTATAGATGGTTGTGAGCCACCATGCAGTTGCCGGGAATTGAACTTATGACCTCTTGAAGAACAGCCAGTTGTCTTAACCTCTGAACCATCTATCCAGCCCTGTTTTGGTTTTTTAAGACAGGGTCTTGATATACAGCCCAGGTTAGCTTCAAATTCACAAGCCTCCTGCCTCAATTTCCCAAATGCTCAAATGATAGTAAGCTACCACATTTAGCCGAGAGGTTTTTTGTTTTTTGTTTTTGTTTTTGTTTTTTTTTTGTTTTGTTTTAAACAAAGCCCAGGTTCTTGTATACTGGGATCTAGTTGCCAAGGAAAATTTACTAGGACAAGGGAAGAATTTAAGAGCACTATATTTTAGAGGATTAGAAGAAGCTGGTACACAAACAGAATACCCACAGGCTCAAGAGAAGAGAAAAATGGGCACACACAGAAGGGTAGATATGATGTGGGTGACATTTGGTTGTTTCTCTTGCTTGCTTCAGCTTTGTCATCAAAACAGGGTAAGTCTACAGTGCAAAGAAGAACACGCACCACAGCCTTGAGATAACCAATGCAAGTTCCAGAAGCCACTTAGAAGCTAGGGTAGTGGTCAAAGGAAGAAAGTCTCCAGTAAACCCAGCACAAGACAAGGAGCAAAGACAGGAGTGAGCTATGTGTTCGGGCAAACAGCTTAATTTGAGGGTTTGTGCCTCCATAGAAGCACAACTTGCTTTTGTGCTAGTACTGGGCCTTGAATGCCAGGCCCAGGAACCTAGAGTTTATGTTTCTACGTTCGGGTTCTACCGTGTTGTGGGACAGTACCCTACATTCCATTCTATCTTGTTGCCAGGCAGTGCGTTCCAGCGCTACTGTCTTCTCCAGCCCCGCCTGTGTACATGAGCACCAATGACCTTCATCAGGAAGTTGAGGATCTCCTTTTTTTATAGGCGGATATGCAAAAAGACCCGTCAGGGCTACAGGAAGCTGTTGACGTACCTCAGAGGGCTCTGGAAAACTTTTAAGACACATTTTAAGCCCCAGGAGGAAGAGCAGGCACTCTCCACAGCTGACTGCATTTTTCACAAAGAAAAAATTGAGGAACTTGGCAAAACGCTGAAGAATATACATCTATCCCTTGAAAAAAGAGCTATGGCTGCCCAGAAAATTGGACTACTGGCCTTCACAGGTACTGCTTCGCCACTGTGCTAATGTAGCTGCTTCATAATCTTCTGCTTGTTATAACACTGCAGTTTAGAAAGTATGATGATTGATGATGATGATTGATGATGATTGATGATGATGATGATGATGATGATGATGCCCTGGCTGTCCTGGAACTCTGTAAACCAGGCTTAGATTCTGTTTCAATATCAACCCAAGATCTTTCAAGTTCAATCTCAGATTCCAACGAGGTACTTACTAAAAGGACATGGGATAAAGTGTACTTTGGTGGAGATTCTAACCACTAGAGCTCTGTTCATGGACTTCTCTAACTTGTGTTACCCTGGACCTATAGTGCTGAGAGTAGTCCATTTGATGTTAAAGTTTTAGTAGAAGCCAGGATGGAAGCCTTTTCCCTTGCTTCTCACCTGTATAGCTAACACTAACACCAAACTAAAGCATTCTGGTCCTCTTATAATTAGTTAGTTGGCTCTTCCTCCAGAAAGTGAACATCTAGGAAGCTGAGCCTGCCTCATTTGATGCCCAGCACAAATACTTCCTTCATAGGGCTGGGGTGTATCTGAGGTTCCTGACTCTCTAGTTTTGACCATTCAGTGGATATGGATAAGGACTCCTACATAGTCCCTCATGGATATCATTCTTTGAAGATTTGACCCCTCAAATTACACCTAAGGAGTTATTTTCCCACCTAAATAAAATTAAAGCAGACTTTCTAGCCATATACTTTTTTTATTTTGAGGAAGGTTCTCATGTAGTCCAGGCTGGCCTCTAAATCTGTATAGTCTAGGATGACCTTACACTTCTTCTGATCTTTTTGCCTCTATCTGGGATTATAGCTGGTCCTGGACATTGAATCCGAAGTCTCATGCATGCTAGGCAAGCACTCTGGCAATGGAGCTATACTCCCAGCCGCAGAACATATCATTTTATTAGAAGATGATCATAAGGATTAAATAAAACTATATATATATTTTTAAATTCATTGGAGATAAGTGAATGGGTTGGACTTGGTAGTCATTAGGCAGTGTGATCTTGCCTTTTGCCGGTATACTTATTAGCTTTCTTGGTAACTATTTTTGTTTGTTGTTTACTTGTTTTGTTCTGGCTTTTTAGACAAACTTTCTCTGTTATGTAGCTCTGGCTGTCCTGGAACTTTATGTAGCTAGGCTGTCTTTGAACTCATAGAGATCTATCTGCTTCTACTTCCTGAGTGCTGAGATTAAAGGTAAGTGCCACCATGCCCAGGTCTACATATGTATTTTAGGAGTAAAAGTTCTTATTAATTTTTTTCAAAGACATTTCTTTATGTGATGGTGCTTTTTCTTATTTGAGGAAGGGTTTTGAGACAGACTCTTATTTTGTAGCCCTAGCTGACTTGAAATCACTGTGTAGATCAGGCTATACTCAGACCTGCACAGACTTCCCTGCTTCTGCCTCCAAACTGGGATTACAGACGTGTAATTGTCTGTGTGATTACAGATGCATACACCATGCCTGACTATGTGTAATACACTTTATAAACTATAAAAATAAAATATTTTGTGCTTACATTCTTCATCAAAACTCTATCACAAAGCCAGGCATGGTAGTGCATGCCTTTAATCCTAGCACTTGGGAGGCAGAGGCAAGGGATCTCTGAGTTTAAAGCCAGCCTATTCTGCAGAGTGACTTCCAGGAAGGCCAGGGCTACACAGAGAAACCTTGTCTCAGAGAGGGGGGGTTTCAAAACAATGTACAAGAACATCTCAGCAATTAATGACTCTCACTTTTCTACCACAAGGCAGCTGAGGCTTCCTGACTCAGGCTCTGCATTTCCTCTGCTCTGACAGTCTCAGATCCACAGACTTTCATCCAGTACAAAGACAGACATTTTCTAAGCAAACACATCCAGATCCTACCACTTGGATACATTCACACCCCAGTCCATGTAACTGAACCCAGGGAGGAGCCCTGGCAGTGGCCTTCCCAGGCTGCCCAAATGCCTCCTCACCAGGTTCTGTTTCCACAGTGACACAGAAAAGGAAAAGTTAACACATCTAAACTGTCGCCGACAGTTACCAGAATATGAACCTGGGTCTGGGGGTATAGTGAGGCCCTGAATTCAATCCCCAGAACCAAAGCAAACAAAATGACAGAGGAAATGGAGGCTGAGCAGATAGCTCACTCAGTGAAATGCTTACTTTGTAAACACGAGGACATGAGTTTGAGTCGTAGCACCCACATAAAAAGCTGGATGTAATCTTCGAACTGGAGAGATGGATGGACTAGCCAGTCAATCAGGCTAGTCTGTTTGTAGAGTTCCAGGCCAGAGAGACCTAATCACAAAAATGTTAAAGGTATATAGCCCAGCATGGTAGCTCAGTCCAACAAGGAGGCAGAGATAGGAAAATCTCTTGAATTGGAGGCCAGTCTGATCTACAAAGTGAGTTCTAGGACAGCCAGGGCTACAGATAAACACTGTCTCAGAAAACCAAAATAACAACCATTCAAAAGTGGATGATGTCTGAGGCTGTTTCCCAACCTCCTCAAGCATGCCCATACACACACACATACATAGGCACACAAACACACACACACCTGTCCCAACACACACAAAGAGTAATGCACAGGGGCCTCTGAAATCTTACCAGCTAGCTCCATTCGCTACAGCTACATACTTCTGCAAGTGGAAATGCTTGTCTTGCAGGAGGCGTGGTTGCTGCAAACTTCGCCAGCGAGTACATGAAAGAAGTCGCTTTCATAATGCAGACTGAAAAGGTGATGTCACCAAAGACAAAGATCCTGCTGCTCCAGAGTGTGGCATGTTGGTGCTACTTAAACCCGGCCAGCCAGAAGAGAGCCAGACAACTGCAGTTTATTCCTATTTTCATTACTTTCTTTGATACTCCCTTCCACTCCACCATCAAGAGTGAAGTCAACAGCCATCGCCTGGTTCAGTTTTGGACATGCTATGCCCTCTCTTCCATGACCTGTAACAACTTATCCATCATAAGGGAGCTGAGATCCTATGGCACTCTAAAATACCACCTGCAGATATTGGCTATGGAGAACTGGGTTGGGTGGTCTGAAAATTTTGCCGAGGTCTTATATTTCCTACTAGGTTTTCACAGAAATTAATTTTTTTCAGTCCAGTTACATGATCCAGCTATTTGTGTTATTGCATTACCCTGGAAACAAGAAATAAATAATAAAATCCATGTGTTGTTGTACATTGTTGTTTTTTGCAGTTAAAAAGTTCTATGCATAGGCTGGGGAGATGGTTCAGTGGGGAGAGTCCTTGCTGTGCATGCTTGAGGACAAAAGTCTAGATCCCCAGAACACACCTAAAAGCTATGTGGGTGTTGGCACCCACATGTGGTCCCAGCAGTGACAAAGCCTCAGTAGGGATGGTGGCCAGTAATGGGGGAAGACACACCAGGTCAACCTCACACCTATACACATGCACCACACACATACAAACATGTACACACACACAGTCTATGTAGATGTCCAGTCTGTCAGCTGTGATCATAAAACCTCTGAACTGCTTCATATGAACTTATAAATATGGGACTCCTTGAGCTCACACAAGTGTAATCTCTGCCATTAGGAAATAAATATGTTAAATCACACAGGCTTGTAATCCCAGCTCAGCCACTTAGCAGGTGGAGGCAGGAGGGTTGTGAGTTCACAACTAGCCTGGGTAACAGAGTGAGACTTGTTCTCCAGGTTTGAGGCTAGCCTGCTCTACAGAGTGAGTTCCAGGACACAGAAAACCCAAGAGAGAGACCCTAGGCTCAAAAAATAAAAGTAAAAAATAAAAATCAAAAAGGCTGGTCAGGTGTGGTACAACACTCAGGAGACAGAGCTCTGTAGTTCGAAGACAGTCTGTCTGGTCTATATATTGAGTAACAGGCCAGCTAGAGCTATATAGTGATAATCTGCCTTTAAAAAAAATAAAAGTCGTGGGTTGGTTAGGGAGGGCAGCTGGAAAAAATGGTTCAGTGTGGATAAAGAGCTTGCCACACAAGTATAAGGATCTGAGTTTGAGTCACCAGAACCCACCTAAAGCTGAATACAGTAGAGTGTGCTTGTAATCCCAGCACTCCTATGAGCATATGAGAGGCAGAGACAGGAGAATCCCTGAAGATTGTGGGTGAGCTAGCCTGGTGTTCATGGCTGTGAACAAGAGACCCTGTCTCAAATAAGGTAGAAGATGAGGACTGACACTTTGGGTTGTCCTCTGACCTCCACATGCACACTGCAGCACTCGCACGCCCATACTCACACATATGAACATACACACACATCATGTATGTACACACAAAAAATATTTTTGAAAGTGGAAAACAAAAAGGAACTAGGACTAAATGGCACACACCTGTAATGCCAGGTTTAAAGTCAAGGGATAGAGATGTCTGGGTAGTTTAAAGTACTTACTACTCTTCCAGAGGACTTGGAAGATGGAGGCAGGAGGATCGGAGGTCAAGGTCATCCTCAGCTGCTGACTCAGTCTGAAATCAACCTGAAATCATTCACACACACTGTAGCCTGCAGTTGCAATTAGATGCAACAGGCTGTGTGTTATTACAAAGCTGAATATTGTTTGTGGGAATATTGGTTTTAGCCTTTACACAAAAGCCAAAGTTATTGCCTCCAATGTCTACCATTAAACCATGAACATTATTTTCTAATACTTACTTGAAGCTGACTTAGAACAATTACTTCATTACCAATTCCTCATTGAGAAAAAACGTGCCTTGGGTTCTCATCATATCACATGCTTACCAGGAACAGCAGCATACATCTCTAACCTCAGCACTCAGGAAGTAGGAGCAAAAGGACCAGGAGTTTAGCAGTATCTTCAGCTACATATTGAGTGAGTATGGAGTAGGCTTTCCTGTTCCAAAGACCCACAGGAGACCCTCCCTTCACCTCCTTTCCCTCTCTCTTCACTCTCTCTGCCTGCTACCTGAGGATCAGGATATAAAGCTCTCAACTACTTCTCCAGCATCATGCCAGCCTACAAGCCACCATGCTGCCTGCCATGATAATGAACTACACCTCTGAAACTAAGCAAGCCCCCCATTAAATGCTTTCCTTTATAAGAGTTGCCTTGGTTGTGGTGTCTGTTCATCTCAATAAAACAGAGACTAAGACAGCATACTAACAGTTTCTTATTACATCCATATGCCCACTCTCAATGTAATTGCTATGCAATTAGATAACATAAATCCTTCAGTACTCTTCAGAGCTGTCCACCAATAGTGTGATTGTTCCTTGTACAAGTCTTTCCCCTGCAGATGCTTTTTCCTTAGCTCCTGGACACCTGCCACTAAGCTCCACATTTGTCTTCTCTAAATTCAGCATCTCTTGGAGAGCTAATCAGCATGGAACCCAGCAAGATAACAAGATAACAGGAGTCATGCCCAAGTACCTCCATCACCCCTAGTGATAGGTTCTCCTCCTCTATGTACCCTTGCCTTTCATTGTCCAATGTCTTAAGTCTTCCTTTTATTGGAAGTTGACATTTTCCTTAAGGTACTGGAGACTGAAACCAGGATCTTGCACTTGCTAGGCAATAACTCTACCACTGAGGTACATACTCAGCCCTTGGCTGATAAAATCAACTTCCATCTTTTCCTGAACCCAGAGAAGCAGTAGCAAGCAGGAATGCTCCAGGCAAGCTCTGAGTCCCTGGAGGACAGGGAAAGCTGAGCCCACAATGCTGAGTTTATACTTTGTGAAGTCATCAATCATGTCATGTCATACTGGAATCAGCAGTGTTGAGCTGCTGGCGTGACCAATACCTGGAAGAAAACATGTGATACAGAAAAGCATATATGCAGCCAGTTAAAGAATGTAAACTGGGTGAGGATGTGGCTAAGTGGTAAAGTCTTTTTCTAGACTGCAGGAAGCCCTGGGTTCAGTCCTTAATACTGAAAGGGAAAAAAGAGTAAAACGTGGTAGAAAATATACCTCCTTAAAAACACACATTAATATTCTATATCTACTATGACTTACTCTTCCCCACTGCTGCAGAAGATTCTGCCATGGCATACTGTACTTTATACCAGTCATAAAATGGCATTTAGTTTGCTTCCCATCTCAACAGGTCAAAGCAGTAATGAATACCATATATTTCACAAGTGTATCAAAGATATTTCTAAAAATGAAACTGACTAGTAATAGTGTCCTGTTATCCCTCACTGTCACTTCTTCATTCCTGGATTTCAGCTTTGTTGGAGTGGAATTGGCTTTTAGGTTTCTTGGGGGGTTAGGGTAAGAAACCAATAGATAGCTATTTCAATCTATATATTTAATCAGAGATGTTGGAAAGCTCTTCTGACTGTGCTCAGGGAAAGTTTTTTCTACAGAATAGACTGTAAGGCAGTCTGGCCACCAACCTCCAAAACGTGCCTGTCAAGATGAAGGAGGTAAAATACAAGGTTAGGTCTTGCAACACTGTAATGCCTTGAATACCAAACTGGATAACCAGTTTTCAAGTCCTTTTGTTTTCCTTTACTAACCCTTCTTAAATCATCTCTCCAGCATTTGGGTTTTCCCCGAAACAACACAGAGATATGGATCTGAATACTAGGACAGGATTTAGGAGTTGATCTCTGGAACCAGCAACAGGGACAAGAGGGGTACGGATTGTGTTTTATTTTGTTTTTCAAGAGAGGGATTCACTGTGGAGCAGCTGTGGCTGTGTGCTCTGCCTCCTGAGTATTGGGATTAAAGGCAAGGGCCACCACTGCCTGGCAGGGTATGGATTTTAAAAATGTGCTTTCAATGGATCTCCCTGGGAAGGGGAAATAGACTAGATTCTGCAGGAAGACTGGAAGTGGGTAGGGAGCAAGATGGGTCAGGTGGGGATGGGGTGGAGGGAGAATTCGGGGGAGACAGATGGAATTAGGGGGTGTTTGGGGAGTGGTGTGGAAACCTAGTGAAGTGGGAAATTCCTGGAATCTATGATGGTGACCCTAGTGAGGATGCCTAGTAATGGAGAATGCAGAGTCTGAACTGGCTTGTTTGCTTGCTTGTTTGTTTGTTTGTTTGTTTGTTTTTGTAGCCAGGTGAAGCTTCCAGTGGTGAGACTGAGGTACATTTGGTTGAGTTGTTGGCCTAGGAGGTCCTCTGGAGATCCCTAAACAACCCAGAATGATGCAGGGATGAAAGAGCTCTCTCTCTCTCTCTCTCTCTCTCTCTCTCTCTCTCTCTCTCTCTCTCTCTCTCTCTTTTTCTCTTCAGTGGGGCCCCAATTGCCAAGGACAAGTTCCACTCAGCTTTCTGAATGTAGAGAGGTTAAGCTGGTCCAAGCTTGGAGCCTTCACCCCTACATTCTAGTCTTTGGCATGGAAAGGTACTCTGCAGGCTATGGAAGGAAAAATGTAGACATCAACCCAGCCACAAAACCACCTACAATCTGTCCTGCCTGCAAGATGTGCTGAGGTAATGGTGGCTCAGAACTTGTAGGAGTGGCCAACCAATGTCTGATTTAACTTGAGGCCCACTCCACAAGAGGGAGCCCATGCCCTACACTGCCTAGATGGCCAGAAACCAGATATCCCAGTGACCTGGGGTAGAACCAAATACAATTGATTGAAAAAGAAGAAAAATGATTCTTGATATTCTCCTCTACTCATACATAGATCAATACCTTGTGATAGGGGATGTTCTTCTGTATATGTGTTTCTCTTATTGGTTGATGAATAAAACACTGATTGACAAGTAGAGGCAGGAAGATAGGTGGGGCTAGGAGACAAGGTGAATGCTGGGAAAAGGAAGGCAGAGAGAGACCGCAAGGAGATGCTATGTAGAGACCAGGAAGATAGGACATGCTAGGCCTTCTCTAGTAAGATAAGGCCATGTACTAATACATAGATTAGTAGTTATGGGTTAATAATTAAGAGAAAGCTAGCCGTAAGAAGCCCTAGCCATCAGCCACTTTTATAATTAATATAGTGTTCATGTGTTTATTTGGGGCTAATCAGCTAAGGGACCTGGCAGAACAGAAACCTCCATCATCAGCCTTGTCCGGTTGTCATCAGAGGCTCCCTCTGGCAGCACATGGGTGCAGGTGCAGAGACTCACAAACAGACATTATGCAGAGAGTTTTAAATGGAGGTCTCCATCAGGTCCTT